TTTTTTATTTATTTCTAGCCCTTACTTTTAATGCACGCACGTCTGTGTTTATTCATTGCCACGCTTTAGTGTCTGTGTTCATTTATTTATTTTATTTACTTATTTATTTCTAGCCCTTACCTTTATTGCGCGCACGTAAGGCAGGGAACCCATATATGGTAGGTATCACGTTATTTCGAAACGGTGAACGTTATTTCAAATCAGTGTAACGTTGTAAGTTCGCATTTGGCAATTTTATCCGACGAGTGCCACACAGGCTGTGTGGTACGAAACTAAATAGTAATAAATGCTAAGCCAAATCTTCAGTTGACCACCCCCTTCTCAATTATATATATATATATATATATAACCAAAATAGCGGAATGAGATCATCATCTACTAAAAAGTGCTCAATAGCAGGGCTAGAGCTATGGATAATTATACTTCAAGATTTAGGTTACTTGAACTTTTACTGCAACTCTGAGTTTCATGCCTCTTGCGAAGCAATCGTCAGGCAACTGCCAGACGATTCTGGCAGTTGCCTGACGATTGCTAGTCGCTTCATGCTACAGAAACCGGAGTTAAGCACCGGCCTAATGGGTCACTAGGCTCGTAAACAGACTTTACTTAAAAGGGATATATAACGGAAGAACTAAGCTTAGATATATAATCTTATTATTCAAATTGCTTCTGTCAGTATCCTTATCCAATTCGCTGTTGTTAGCGCCACCTAAACTGTTGAGGGTGAAGTTGTGTTCACGAACATTCTTAATTTGATTTTTTCAGCAAGTGAGGTGTTCGTCTCAGCATCATAGTTGGTTGTTGAATCGGCTGTCGCAGTTTTGCCAGTATTTTCGTAGTTGTAGCTTATTCGTTATCCCGTCAGAACTAGTAAGAAAATTACACGTTTGGGTAGCTTTTAAGCTCTAGAGATCGTGGACGGGCCCATTCCGAAAACGCTCGACATCATTTAGTGTGGGCCTACCACGAACGGTGTGTGCGCGTGAATGTGAGATAAGCATATAGGACAGGAAACTTTGCAAAGCGGTCTTCACAAAACACAGTATTTTGTAAATTATGTTGTTTAGGAAGAGCGAGCACATGTTTGTTTTTAAGAGTAGACTTAAAATTTATTTGAATATTTATTGATTATTTATTGAATCTGTAGCCATTACATTTTATCTTTTGTATGTTTTTAGTTAAGGAAATTGTTTTCATACAGGGCTAACCTCACGATTTTCCCTTTCCAGGATGTACTTTTTGTATTTGCGTTGTAACTTCCTGAATAAAAAATGTTATGTTATGTTATGTAAGTTGTCACGCTCTCATCCCCAGTTTCCGCAGTATACGCAAGGAACGCCTAGTACCATGACCCCCTTTTGGCGACCAAGAAGGGCTTGCATTTTAAGACTCGCCGGCTTTCCTACGGAAGCCCGGGTAAAACCAAATTGAAACGGCTGACGAGGCGGTAGACCTATCTATTTAGATGTTATTGATATATTGGCAATACGCATTTAACACAACGAAATCCTTGATATAATTTCAATATATCAACAAAGTCGAAATGGTAAATTGGCCACCGTCACGGTTATAAAAGCTGACGTTTCGAGCGTTGGCCCTTTGTCGGAGCGAATAGAGGAACGAAGGGCTAACGCTCGAAACGTCAGCTTTTATAATCATAACGGTGGCCAATTTACCATTTCAACTTTGTTGATATATTGAAATTATTTCGTTACCCCCACCGACGCAGCCCCAAGCAGTTTCTTTAGAAACTATCAGCCGAAATCCTTGATAGCTTGCTGTTTTATCCCCAGAATATAAGAATCACCAATGAAAATGTTCCTTTTCATGAAAACGAGCGAGCTTATACGTAGTTATATGGTAGTCGGTGTTGTTTTCGACCATTTTTTTCCAAAACTAGTTCAAAAAAAATATATGTTTCATCTTTACATGCTCACTTTGGAGGTTGGTTGGCCGCATCTTGATATGCCTTAATGTGACAGCGTGATGCTGTTAGTGAGTTTTCACAGGTGCTTACCAATACCTGGCTGTGTAGCCGCGCGATGCGGTTCCAGTCGATGCCCACAAATTGACCCTTGCTTACCATAGAGTCTTCAGTAGCTCAGTGGTTAGAGCATCCGACTAGATCACGGAGGGTCGTGGGTTCAAGTCCCAGCTGGGGCTCGGATTTTCTCTATTACACCAAAAATTGTTTCAAAAAAAATATCGTCTATCAAAAAATACAAAGTGGCCTTCGGTTGGAAAAATTTCAGCACTTGAATGGTAAGACAGCGTGTAGTATCCAACAAAAAAACTTTACTGTTCACACAAAATATATTACAATCCAAACTACCGCACAAGTCTTAAAGATAGTCTACATTAGCATACCTAATTACGAGTCTTGACAACTATTTAGAGTACATGACACCTTCAACAGATACTTCAGACAGCTACGCTACTCAGCGATCTAAGGAAACTTCTTTAATTTGAGCTTAAGCAAATCGACCTCATACATTCTACAGATTTTGACATCGCATTATGAAAATGGCAAAACTGTCTTTGCAACTGTAATTATTTCACGAAAACATGAGATCACGATATATGAATAGCAACGTGTCTTTAAAACTGTACTATATTTTTAGAATATGGTGGTTTTCGGAGTGGTTTTCCAGCGTTTAGACTGGTATTTCAATCAAGGAAAAACTTCACGCTTTTGCCAAAAAATTGCGTCAAAGATATCGTGTCCCCTTGAAATATAAACGCAACAACACAATATTTGAACAACATCCTCATTAAGTTAGATGTCTGAGTTGAAACACCTTCAAGACAATTCTGACCAACTTTTTCGTCATCATATAGATGGGAGAAACAAGCACTAAGTGGTATTGAAGAAGCAGTTTTTCTCACTGCCTGACAGAAGTTGTACAGATAACCGCCTCCCAGTTAGCTCAATGGATAGAGCGCTGGACTGTTGTGCGGGAGGTCGAGGGTTCGAGCCCCGGCCGGACCAACACTCAAGGTCTTAAAATAATTGAGAAGAATATGCTACCTTTCTATAACATCAAGAAATGGTTAGATATTCTAGTCTTCTCGGATAGGGACGAATAAATGGAGGTCCCGTCTCCTACAGGGTTAGGGGTAGGAGACGTTAATTTCTCACGCACGAGATCACTGTGTGATGGATGTCCTCCCCTGGGGTGGGATGGGCGGGTTAGGATTGATTGTAAAGCGCTGTTGATCTGTCATTGTAAATAGCGCTCTATAATTGATAAATTGTAATTGTAATTGTACAGATCAAGGAAGAACCTGCATAAAGGCTGAACAAAAACTCTGCTCCTTATAAAGTACAAGATGGTAAGTGATTGATATTTCACGAAACTCTCTCTGTTCGATTCCTGGATCCCAGTCCATGTCCTGTTTCTATCCTGAACTGATAGGAATGGTGCTGCCTAGAAAGCGTCAACAATTTTCGCCTTCTTTGATTCACTAACTTACTATTGCCCATCTTTTTACACCAGAAATTTACGCTGTTGTTTTGGTGTCTCTCTCTGCTGACCATCACTGTCCAATCTATGTCCTTAATTGCGGAGAGAAAGGTAAGAACGAGATCATATTTGATTTGTTACTCAAGGCCGTAAAACATATGAAAATACCTAGTAGTGCTAAGAATGGAAAACAAGAACCAAAATTTACATGAAAACCGCACACAGATACCAGTGGTGTTGGTGTTTGAATTTTCCTGTTTGCGCCGTTTTGGGTTTTTGACGACGTTAGTTTGCCACTATTATCATCAACTAAGCTAAGAGTTCTTTTGTTCACGGGAGTCGTAAAGGAATCACGCATGTAGTTAAGTAGCAACAGTAAAACTTCACTAGATTCAAGCCTAATGCCGATACATGTTTCGATTTTTCGCAAAAAAAGAAATATGTTTTCACGCTTTTGGTGAAACTGTGTTCTTAGAGTTCCGTGACTAAATATTCTCTGGAGCTGTCAAGTGGTGGAAAAAAGTTTGGCGAACAGATCGAAATTGACACCATAAAGGGAACAGAGACTTTCCACGTACCGAAGACATCGCCTAATGAATCAGCAGGAGATATAATCTACGATTTTAAAAGGGTAAACATCGATGTGATTTGTTTGTTTGTTCGTTTGTTTCATTAGGGGGGTAGGCACGGGGCAGGTTTGCGCCAGATGAAGAGGCCATCCTCGCCTTTCCTATAATTCACCTGGTGCAACTTAATGGCTCTACTTTCAGCCCTAAAGAAGTGAAAATGTGACTTTGTTTTTTTTGCTGCAAGGCTTTCAGCGATATTCTGTTTGTTTGTTTGTTTGTTTTTGTTTTTTTTCATGCAGCGAGTGACAATGGTTCGTTTGCGAGTAGAAAAGGCATGCTATATGGCTAATTCAATCGATGAAACTCTCACGCCTGCCGATTTAAAGGAAGCTTTGGAAATGGTGAGTGTACTCTAAAAGCGAAAGTGCATGCAATAAGGCATTTTATAATCTCAAATTTTACGAATCCCTTACCTGAGTTCTTCTAAAGCCCTTGCCTCAATGCTATGGTGTTAATGATTGAAATACTACGAGTCAGATTGCTTTAAGTTCTTAGACTTTCGCGTGCGCGATTTCCGATTTTCATCCCTGTGTATTACTGTGTTGTTGTTAGAAATCTCCCGGGGTACGATGCGCTGGGTACGATGTTCAAGAATAAACGCGCATTTTGAACCGAATCGCTGTGTACTTTTCAATTACAATAGTACGTCTGATTTTCGAGACGCCCAAGCCTCGCACCCAAAACGAGGATGAGTACGAAGCCTTAGATACGAAAATGGTTGGACATTTTCTTGCCATTCAACTCATTATCAAAAGAAAGATTTTGCGTTACGTTTTGTTTTGAATAAAGAGGTCGTTTTCCTTTGCTTCTCAAAAATATGCTACCTAGTTCGGTCACGCACTGGTTGTAGATGTATCTTAGAGAGTCTAAGACACTACGTAGTATCGAAATAACTGAATGTCTGTGGTGCTTGGTTGTTTATGTTCAGTGTTGTTTTCTTATCCCAGTATCGAGTTACAAACTCGAATTTCAAGTGATAAAGGGGTTATGTTCCCAAAGTTTATGTGAAGCTGCGTCGGTAGGTGGCATAGCAAGATAATTGGTTTTACAACCTGAAGTTTCGAGCGGTAGCCCATAGTCAGAACCCGACTCATTTTTTACCAGTGTACCGGCATTAGAAGAAAATCATCAAAGCCGATTGAAGAAAAAATTTATTTCATAACAATAACTTAGCTGCTTCACTAACTGATGTAACCCTTAGCTGAAAATATACATGGTTTGCTCTGCTTAGCGTACACTTAATTACCCCTGCCCTGTTACTTTAGGAGATCTTAGAAGTCTTGTATAAAAATAAGTTCTCTTTCCTTAGCCTATGTATACCGTTTGTTACTACAATTTAAAACTGACTACCCTTAACTTAGAAAATGAAAAGGTATCATCACAGAGATACATCATAAATAGCAATAAATTCGACGTATAAATTATAATATGCATAATAGAAGCTTCCTCTAGCACACTACATAAATATATTACCAAAGTACCCTCACTTCTGCATTAAAATCTTAGTCATCACCCTTAAAAGCGCTATCCTTCAGATAGAGAGAGAGTGAGGTCTGGGTAGAGGGCAGAACTACTCTCAGTGTTGGGAAGGGGCAAATAAGAGATCTTAACCTTCCCCACATAGTTAGAGTCATTTGTCCGCGCTCTCGTCAACACGAGTTGGAGAATGGTCGAGAAATTCTAACAGCGAAGGGATATCAGCGTAAAAGAGAGACCACGGTGTCTACCTACAATTTACAACATAAATATCACTTTTACCCTCCAAGTATGTTCGAAAACCCGTACAACACGAAACTTACGCCCAATTTGAATTTATGGAGGGGCTCTTTTTGTGTTTGGTGGGCACAAACTTATTTCTGTCCACGACTTAAATTTAGGCCGAGAGCTAATTTTTGCAAGTTTCATTTCAGGCTGTATGGTCAAAACTTTTTATCCTGCTGAATAACCCCGTAGATCTTGAGCTAAAGGTCAGTATGGTTTGTCTAAAAAATTATTTTGAATAATTCCTTGCTCGAAGGAAATGAATTGACATGTGTATCGAAAAAATAATAATAATAAAATAATAAATAAAATTGTGGGGTCTCATCTTACGATGGTTTTGTTTTCGGTAGGAACCTAATTTGCGACCCAATTTTTGTACTTACAAGTTACTAAAAAAAATGAAAATGATTTTCATATCTAGAATAACTAAGGTTCTCTAAATAAGTCTTGAAAATTTCACGTCAGCAATAAAATTCGAATTAGCGACCCCTTATCTCAGACGATAGGTAAAACCGACGCCCTCGCTATACTAAAGCCTACTCAATTTTTTTCCAAACTCAAATCATTAATTCTCTGCTGAAACAACTTGTCTAAACGAAACGTTGCACCACTGCTACATAAAGAATACTTCTTTACGTGCTGGTACATGTAGCGCTCGTGTGTCTTGCAGCATAACAAGCGCTTGACACACATGCAAATCCCGAGCACTCCACGCGCGCAACACACCACACACACACACACACACCCGCGTGTAACAAAATGCACACATGTGAGTATAAAATGCGTGTAAACCAGTAAAATTACTTGGCAGTTTTGACTTTCTGCCACCAAATTAAAAGGGTCTGGTGAACCTTTTTTAGCATATGATATGCCTTGTTCACCCTTCACTGGAATGAAACCTATTTCAAACATCAAAGTACAATTTTTTTTTTTTTGAAACTTTGGTATTCTTAAATGTACAACGAAATTAGACATCAAACGCATGACCTAGGAAATTTTAAAACAAAAATATTAAGCCATTTCAATTTTTGGCGAACTTGTGTGACATCACTGAATAACTCATCACTAATAACTGTTCTTGCGAATGAAAATTTCATTCTACAACAAACGTTCGAGATATTCGTTGAAAGATCTTGCAATATTCAAACGAAATGACCGAATTACCGAAAAGCTCTACTTGCTTGCGCGCACTTACAAATAAATTATGCTAAAATAATGTCGCGCAGTCCAATCTGTGTTATGTACACGGTGACAATTTTCAGCTAAGGGAGAGTATTAAACTAGGCCGACTACAAAACTTCACTCTGCTTACAAATCTGGGAAGCGATTCGGATCCTCCTGCAATGGAAAGGAAAACGTCGAGATTAATCTAAATTAATGCTTATTACAGAATAGCTGTTGGATCAGATTTGTTGCCGTTGGAAATTTCTTTGTGATTGACTTACGATAAAACTGGGAAAAGCGCGCATTCAAACGCGCGTATTCAAACAAAAACTTAGAGATGTTCTCTGACCAAAACTAAACCGTTGAAAGCTATAAAATATCACGAGAGGCCAGAAGTCACAGTAAAATTAAAGCAAATTGTTTGGACAGCGAGTAATTGCGGTATGCTAAGCCAGGGGCATCCGGAACGCTTGAGAAGAGAGAGCGTGCGGGGAAGCTAGCGAGACTCCTGTTTGCATATTTGCTTGACAGCTATAGTTGTTTTTAAGCCCTCTTAGCGCGCCTTTGTGGCTTTTAACTCTTGTCCACAGCAATCAAGAGTGACTTAGTTTGGATAGAATGAAAAAAGGCCGATGTAAGGCAATTTCACTTTCCTTTCGACAATCAATGGAGAATTGCTCCAAAACTTGGGATCACTTTACATCACGTGGCTTTCCATGTCAGAGAGCGTGATGGGATAAAGGTTACCGTTCATGTGATAAGAGCGTGACCGACCTTGTAATCTCGAGGAATAAAAAACATCGAAGAGGGAATGTCGCGACAGGATTTAAAGTCTTGGAACGTCACTCGAGCTGTTATCGTCGGAAAAACTGGAATTTCTGTAACATAAAACGAAAATGTAAAAGGAAAAGAAGAGAAAATGTAAAGCGATCAGCCTAAGACTGCAGACGATTCGACGTGTTTTCTTATAAAAAGGCTTGTGGGACAGTAAGTAACGAACATTAACAGAGCTTCATCGCTAAATTAAAAATTATTTTGTAAGTCAACAGGAAGCTGTGGAAAACCACTTCAACCTTGAAGACGACTTCAAAATATAATTTTGGCATGATAGAAAAACAAACAAGGTCGGAACAAGGATTGAAAATATTGAAACGAATTCAGAATAAAATGTTTCGATTTGGACTTAAAAGGACCCAGTTTCCTTCACAGTCGCTCTTTTGAAATGTCACGCAACGCTCCTCCCAAATGTAGTTCGTCACGTGACATACCAAAAAACCGGGAGCGAAAGAAATAGAACGTGGCATTTTTTAACGCTGAAACGATTACAAGAATCTCAAACAATGAACACAAACTAAACAAACCTATTCTGACAGGAAATCCCGCAGGTAGTTTCATAGCGACAAACTCTTTTAACTTGTTAAAGTGCTTAAATGGAGCAACAACTTCCAACACTTTCAGGATACTGCAGGTAGAGAGAAAAAAATACAAAAAGAACTTGTTAACAAAATGCAATAGGATACATGGGTTAATAACCTTAGTACGCAGTTTCCATTTCGAGACAAACTAACTAATTACTTATTGTGCAATGAGAAAAACCGATACCACAAAAGTGATAAAAAATATCAACTTACAGATCAACAGAAAGGGGGAAATCTTCACTCTGAAAAAAAAAAAAAAATTTTAAATATTGATTTTGGCACACCCCAATGACACTTGAGAAAACTGAAGGTTATAAATTAGCAAGGTTTTAACTTCTACTGACACTCACCATGGCCACATGCGCTTTGACAGATTTTTTGTCTTCTTTGAGCACCATGGGTCGGCCAATCGGAGGCAGTCTGTGAATGAAAAGAAACAAGGAATCAGTCAACGCAGAAAAGCCTTTGGTCAGCAAAAAATGTACTTAAGCTTTTTCACCATCTCACAAAACAATAGTCAATCGGCACTCCAGCCTCTCCCAGAAGTTAAGTTGGTAAAACGAGGCGCGATGGTAACGGTGCAGCAGAAAACCGAGGGGGGTTTGGGATCCTCCCGCGACTCCACAGCTGGGAATCTTTCCTCTAGAGACAAGATGCTCTTCATTTCAGAGAGCAGTCACTTCATTATTGATACAGATGAAAGCAAACCCAAAGCAATTCTGGAGTACGGTTATGCCCCTTACCTGAAAACCAGTCATTTTTTATGAAATCAGCGATCAGAAATACTTCTTGAGTTGTCATTAAAGAGAACTTTCAATGTCTACTGACCTGTCTGAGTCGTACAGCAGATACTCATCCCAAGACAAGTCAGTTTTTGGTGGAGGATTAAGGGAACTTCTCCGTGTAGTCTGAAATGAAAAGATCACAGATACACACAAACATATCAGTACAAAGACAATAGTAAGACAATAGTAAGTGCTCCTTCTGGAATGACTAGCATCTAATTTCTCCTCAGAAAATTACCCTGAATCACACATTGAGGTCACAAGAATAAAGGAAATGATCACCAACTAAAGAAGTTCTTGATCGTTAAACAAATTCTCCTTGTGAGCACCTTGGGAGATATATAGAGAACAGTAGGGAGAATATGCAGACTGATGTTATGGTGTAAAGGAATAAGAGTGCAGGCCCCAGTTGTTTGAATGGATAACACTATACACTGGATAAATCTCTATCCGGTGGATAGCGCAGTACGTTTTGGTAACACTTATCCGCTGGATAGCTATTTATCTGTTGGATAGCGATTTATCTGTTGGATAGCGATTTATCTGTTGGATAGCGATTTATCTGCTGGATAGCGATTTATCTGTTGGATAGCGATTTATCTGTTGGATAGCGTTATCCGCCCTTTGAACAACCGAAGCCAGAAGTTTACTAGTTTACACCGGACTGAAAGCATTCTTACCTCAGGAAGGCTGTCCATGATATTTCCCCCTCCTTTGCTTAGATTGTCAATCAGAGCCTGTTAATTCAAAGCAAGATTCATTGTTAATTATTACTATTTTACCCATTCCTCAAAAAGAAAAGAACAAAAAAATAGAAAACAAAAAACAAAAAACAAAAAACCCAACAAATTCCTGCTGTTTCTCTCTATGGAGAAAGGTACAAAGTAAATACAATACTTCAAAGCACATGGCATAAAAATTTACAATTGTAGCTAAACTTTTTTGCCAATCACTAAAACAAAAACATATCAAGTTAGTCAAAAAGCAATCAATAACATCTTTAGAAAGCAATTTCACTGAGAAATGTTCATTTTGAAGATTTCTGCCATTTCATTAGCACAACTACTAGCCTACACCAACTTCATACTGAACCATCACCAAATTTTATTTCTGACACTGCAGAAAGCATTTGAACATACTTTCTAGACTTTCCATTACAAAAAAGACTGAGTTACTAACCTTGTTTTTCACAACATCTTCCTCTGACAGGTGCTCCCTCCTAAACAAACAATGCACGAGTAAGTCTAAATGAACAAGTCCATTGACAATTATTTGACAGCAAGGGAAGTCATAACACAATTAAGAAATGAGACTATTTCATATTCCCCACTGTTATAAATGACTATAACTGATGTTTTATCAACATTGATTAGAGTTCAATTTCAAAGATGAAGAACTGGGTGCTCAGAAGAATTACCGGAAATCCTGGGTGCCTTGCTCAGACATATCTTTTAGTAGCCTGTAGAAGTCACAACTTTCAAGCTACTTTTTTCAAAATCTTTCTCTCTGAAATCACACATAAGAAACTTCAACCACTTTCTTACCGCTTTCTGGAAATGAGCAACATTCCATTTATGGAATACACTTCTGACATATAAGGACCAACCATTTCCTAAACAGCAAACACAAATGTCAATTACAAATTTATTGTGGCCAACCAATGAAGTGGAAACTAGAACATAGTAGCAAAGAGAAAGACAATTGGAGACCAGTCTACATGTATGTCTGAGACATCACTCACTGATCTGTCTGCGCGCCAAATCCATCCTGCTTGTGAGCGACTAAAAGTGATGGGTTTAGTTGACATGGTAGCTGAGACAATGTCACTGCAAAGTAATTAATACAGATGTTTCATGGTAGAGCAAAAATTTGCACAGAGTTTGCACCATTTTTAGAAACAAATTTCAAGGACTTTTCCAGGACTCAGATTGACCAAGACTCCAAATTTCGCCTTTATGCCTTTTATTCCCAAGATTTCAAAATCAATTCTTCTTGCGTTCTACTTACATTTTTTATCATAACCTAAATTCTGAAAACTTTGTTTCTAAAGTTAAGCAGATTTCCAGGACTTTCCAGACCTGAAAAGTGTCAGAATAAAATTCCAGGACTTTCCAGGTTTTCCTGGACCCATACAAACCTTGTTTGCCTCCTCACAGTAAGAAAAATTGGAAATAATAATAATAAATAAACAAATAATAATATTCACTGCTAATCGCTGTTGCAAAGTTTGTACAGCAATGACGCAGCTCAACAAGGTCGAACTGAAGGGGCCTTTATGAGTCTCAAGAAACCTTTGCCTTAAACTGCACTATAATCTCAAAAGCACTTGGTATTCATCAGGTTTTGAAATATTCAGTCTGGCTTGTACAAAAAAGCAATGTGCCCTGCTTGATAATAATTATGCTTTCTTTAACTCTCATCACCTGTTTCCAAGGCAATATGTGCAAATTCTTGGAAGAAATTCTTAATAGAGCACTACTAAAAGTAAAATTTTTAACCCTTCCTCTCTCAGATCTCATTAGTAATTCTCCTTACCATCTGACATGCAATTCTTATGATGTTACTTTGGAGAATTTGGTATTAGATCATCTAATAATTCCCTAAGTGATATTTTTCTTTATTCTCACACTTGTCTGTTTGATTTTGTATTGATGTCGTAGGAAGAAATTCTGTCTTAGTCACTCATGGCAGTTAAGGTTAAACAGTTGTGTACCTGCTCATTAGTAGGTCAACTTCTTCCTCTATCTCTGCTTCAGTGTCCTGAGAGAAGATGACAGATGTTGTTTCAATATACAATTGCCACCTGTCAAAGCAGTGTTTTTTGTCATTCTAGAAAAAGCTAAAATATTCCCACCTTTTCTACACATACATGATTGTACCAGTAGGTATGTCTGCTCATTAAATCATTAAGAAAAACAACTCACCTCTGTTCTGAGTCTTTGAAAAACTCTCTTCTCATTGTCTAACACAGCAAAGGATTGCTTTCCTGCCAAAAAAAAAAAAAAAAAAATTTAAAATGTAACTTCTCCCTATAACTTCCCTACATTATTCAGCAAACAGGTAATGAGAATACTCAAGCTTATCAGGTAGAATTTGTTATCTTGATCTAACACCAAATTCTCATAGCTAATTTACAAAGAAATGTGTAGCAGCTAGAGGGGAGAATTAACAATCAGATCTTGGAAGCTAAAGGGTTAACCGTTTTTCAAACTTCAAGTAAATGAATATACCTGACAAAGCTCGACACTAAATTTTCAACTTACTAGCCAAGTGGCTGATGACATCTTAGATGTTTTTAGATGTTACAACAATTTCAGTCTGTTTACTAGCCAAACTGGCTAGTGGAAATTGAAAACCACTAGCCAAGACTGAACTTCTACTAGTCTGTGCCTAGTGTGCTACTGTTAGTGTCAAGCCCTGCCTGATAAATAAAAATTTAGAATATTGACAAAACTCACCTTGTTTTAAAGTAGTATGCCTAAATTAATTGCTTAAAGACGAAACTTTGATCACCATAGATACAGTGAGACAGTAACATAATAATTTGTTTTAATTTGCTTCAGCATTCAAGTTTTTAAAAAATTAACTAATTATTTTTCCCTCAGTTTTAAAATTCATGTCATTTTTAAGTACTAAAATTTTGCAAGCAGTTTTAAGAGGTAGGAAAGTCAGTTTGAAAAATCAAATAAATCTGAAAATTAAGTTAAGTGAGATTAAAGTTATACTACTGAAAATGTACCTCGTGCATCACCATTGAAAATAAATGTCAAGTCACCCCTCTGCCATTTCATGTCACTAAAATCCACAAGCGTACTATCCATTCTGTTGAAAGGAAATTACAGTTAATGACAACTGAGAGAAAAAAATTAGCACGTAACAAAGAGGTAACTCGGTTTTCACAAGCAGCCATTATGAAACAACAATAACAATTAATCATTACTCCACGCTGCACTATATAATCAAGTGTAATTTACAATTGGCGAAACTCATGTGTAAAGATAGGTTTTTTAGTTTAATCCTGTACCTAATTGAGCAGCCTTTCTTGTACACTTTACATGTGTCTGATGGCAATATTCTGGACAAGAGTGGTACTGCAAAAAAATTTTGTCAATCAACTCAATACACTACCAGAAGCACAACATAAATGAACAGAAAAGAATGCACACAGAATAAAAACATTTTTGAGTGAAATGAAGATGTCTGTCGAATAAGTTTCTGAATTATTCTGACGAACTGTACATACCCCAGCTTTGAAAATCCCAGTTAATCTCTACATAAAAGTCTCCAAGCTGAAAACAGAACAAATTCTAGTATCATCATACATTTAAGCAATAGACCCCATTTTCTATCAACTGACCAGCATGGTGACCCTCATGAGATGTTGGGAGAACACAAGGAAATTTTGTAAATCACAAACTGGGGGTGAGTGATTTAAAAACTATTTAAGGAAGAAGCAAGTCAGGCATGAGTAAACAAACCTGCAAATGAAAAAAAAACTAAAATACCAGTACATTGTACATAGTTACTGATTTTGAGGTTTTCTTGCATGTCTTGAATTTTATTTTGATTGGTGCAATGTAATTACATGTTGTACAAGTATTCATTTGAGGGGTCACAATCAAACTGAAGCAGTTTTCCAAGTCTAACACTAAGAGGACAACCACAAAACTCCTGGCCTGGTTATTTGCTGAGTTCTCTTATGCGCCTGGCAAATTTTCAGCAGTGAAAGTAAAAGTTAAATGTGCAACAATGACCAAATTACCTCTTGTAATGCAGTAGTCAATTGAGGTCTTCTCTCCTCTAAAGTCTCTCTTGATTGTTCTTTGAGTTTCTTCAGTAAAGATGCGACTATAAATTAAGAAATACAGTACAGGTTTAAGTGCCAAATGTACACTATAGCTGGAACCAGGTTCTGAGAGCAGTTTTTGGTAACCCGAAATCTACTTGTCTCAGACAAGGAGATATGTGACAGCTTTCTGTCCTGCACAATGGTGAGAGCATTGAAAGAGCATGCTCTATCAGAGTACAAAACACAGAGCTGAGCCAAAGCTCTCATGCCATCTGCCAATTTGTCGTGTGTAGCTTCTTTTTGTTAATTGAAAGTGAAATTTCAGAACAAGCAAGCCAGGAAGTATCAACAGAACAACCAAACAAAGGTTTATAAACATGCCAAGCACCATAACTGGTGTAATTATAAGTTGAACAGAGACCAAAATCCTCAAAGAGATAATGAAATGGACTGTCTGAGTTTTAATTGTTTTCGTGCTCAGTTAGATTGTAAACTTACATATGGTAATACCGGTAAAAATCAAACTAAAAAACAAATAATTCTTATCATCAAGTTGAACTTACTTATTTGCCGATCTCCATAACTGATAGCCTCAGCAAGGGGTGTCCATCCAAAGTTATTTTTCACTTTCACTGGGGCTTTGTGGGCCAACAGTAAATACACACATTCTACAATAAAAAATAACATGCTACATAACTAAGTTATAAAGCACCTGTGCTGAATTAAGGTCATGTTTTATAGGTAATATATATTAATTATAACAAGTTTGTCGACCTGCTTTTCAAAAACACAAATATACCATTGGTAAAGCTTTGAGAATAAAAATCAATCAGTAGCACACAGCTTTGCATAACCATTGACCACTTTCATAAATGGCTGCCGGATTAATATTCTTTTATTTAAATTTAAATTAGCCTTTCTGGCCTCACTTGAGATAACGTATTCTTTCGAATTTTGTACTGGAGAGCAAGGCCAGAAAGGTTAATTTAAATTTAAACAAAACAATATTAATACGGCAGCCATTTATGAAAGTGGTCTATATTAAGCCTTCTAATTTTGCCAGTTTAGATCCACAGTATATTTTTGAAGACTTCAATTGATGAAATGCTTGTTAAATGAGACAAAATGTTGTCTTAACAGGCAAGTTATGATAGGACATGGTTTACTTGCCATGGTGATCTCTATGCTGCAAAAAAGATTGGAACCCTCATCCTTCTTCTCTTTAATGGAAACTACCTGCTTAAACTATTGACCAAGAGTTCTGAGAAGAATTGGTCCCACAATTTCCATTTCTACCAAATTCATGTACCAGTAAAATTTTAAAAATATATTTTCACTAACCTCTGTGGCCTAAGAGAACTGCCAAATGAAGGGGTGTATTTCCTAAACAATGAAATAACAAAACATCAATTTACCTTAATTCCATAATGAATTATAAAAAAAAGTTCTGATATAACAAGTGCTGTCATAGGTTGAGTATGTGTCCTCTTTCAGAGTACAAACATGGCAATGAGCTAAAGCTGTCATGCCATCTGCCAATTTGTCATAAGAAGCAAGGTGAAATACTCGAGTACATCCCATGTTTCTTCCTACACTTCTTCCTTGCTTTAGCTGCTTCCTACATGCTTTACAACAGAACAAAGCACATTTGAGGCTTCTCTATTTGTCAAATAGAAGAGAGAGTGTCATCTAATTTCTCCCTTTAACATCACCCATGCATCATTTAAGGTCAAGAGAATAAAGTAAATGATCATCAACAAAAGAATCTCTTGATCATAATACAAATTCTCCTAGTCAGCATCTCAAGAAACATATAGAGAACAGTATGGAGAATATGCATACTCATGTTAAGGTATAAAGGGTGAAGTAGTCATATGAAAATGCTCGCACTTTTATGAACAAAAGAAACACTGTAAGGTGAAAAATTTCTTTAAACTAGTTCAATTAATTTCCCTGTGTTCCCAATAAATAATCTCATTTCTTAAACAAAGAAAATAACAAACCAGTCAATATCAAAATAAGTTTAATTTGAATTTCATTTTCACCAACAGCACGTTTTAACAATTTAAAAGTTTAATGTTAATTAGTGCAATAAGTCAACGAAAAAAACCCTTATTTTTAATTTGACTGTGTATTTTACAACCCTTATCTTTGTTGTACAGCCCTTGATTTTATCTTTAGTCACGAGACAATATTTTACAACGATATCAGTAGCTTCCATTTTGACAAACTAGCAATATATCTACGAAACAAATTGAAACCTTACGGGTATGTTCGTCAATTTTCGAGTTAAACAATTTAGAGAAATTATTTGAGTTCAGAAGTCTTCCAAAAGAAAAAATAAGGTGTGTAATAATTTGTATAATAAGGCCGCGACTGCTGAAAATAGCAATTCATTATTGATAACAATTTTCGACTTCATTACGTAAAGAACAGATAAGATCACAAGAGAGCCAGAGATAACAACCTTTGTACGTCTGGCAAATATTGGCAAACAATAGTTATTTGTATCATTTTTTCTTTTTTTTTTTCTTACATTCTCGGAAGATTTGACCACATAGAAACAAATAAACCACTGAAAAGGAAATAAGGTATTAAAAAGTCCTTGCATCGCTACAAATACGGCGAAAGTTTGTAAGACGTAGAGTGACTTTTAGATTGCATGGTATACAGTCATGAATTTCTCCAAATTGTCATCTGGTTCTCTGGTGACCAAATAAATTTCTACGAAGATTATTTTTTTCCTATCATGAAACAGCTGTTCAAGAAAGGGTGAAAATGGCTCATACCCTTAACGACAGAGCAATCTCCTTTATCATACACTACATGAGTGGTTATAGTATAATAAGGGAAAAAGTCAATCTTACAGGTTTCGACTCGCGAATATTTGTGATCGCCGGCCGGCAATGGGCGGTTGTAAACACAAACTGTTGGGCGCTATTTCGACGAAATGGCTTTAAAGACAAGTCTTACCATGTACATCTCTTTCTCCTACATCGCAGGTGCGCAAGCAACTCGAAACCTTCCGAAGATTCCCCTCAAAAACTGCTCTATGAAGAGGAAATCTGTCGCATAACGACTCCATTACCGAACTACGAGTTATGCGTTACCTTCCAGTGACGTCAAGTGTATCCCATGATTCACACGTGCAAGACTTATGGCGGACGTCTTCCGCCAGAGAGCTCAGCAAAGATGGAAGATTCTGGCTTCCGTTATCAAAAAGGAATGTTTAGAAAAAGATGATCAGAAGGTATCTGTGCGTAGATTTGCGGGATTTAACTTGTTTTCTAAAAAGATCGTGCAGATTGAGTCAGAGTTGAACGAAAATGAAGCCGATTATGAGTGGGTTGAATATCGACCTAGAGCCGAAATTGCTACAACCGGTAACAGCTTAGATAACACATTGATGTTAATCAAACAACGGTGTAGAAAAGTTGTCCTTGAAGATTTGACTGGTTTTGATAACACTGGCAACGTTTGCTTGTGGCCGTCAGAAGAAGTGCTAGCTTCATATGTGCTCAAACGCAAAGATCAGTTTTGTGGGAAAGCAGTTTGTGAACTCGGTGCTGGTATGACGGGGTTAGCTGGAATCGCTCTGGCAGTCATGGGAAATCCTTTGAAAGTTTTACTTACAGACGGTAATGAAGACTGCGTGAAAAATATGGAAGCTGTTGTACGGCAGAATAAATCATCGTTTGGTTCAACTATTGTCCAGTCCGAACAGGTGCTTTGGGAAATCAACTCAGATTTATCTCATTTGGAATCACAATTTGATTTTATAATCGGTGCAGACTGTTTGTTTTTCAACCAGTCTCACTATGGTTTGCTTCACGTCATTGCTGTTCTTCTCAAAGAGGCTGGTTTTGCCGTCATTATGGCACCACAAAGAAAGGATACTCGTGAAACATTCTGCAGCAAGGCCTCATCTCAATTTAGTGTGGAGAAGATTGAAAATTATGACCCAGTTGTGTGGTCACAGCACCAAGCAGCTAAAAACGAAGACCCACTTTATGATGAAGACATCCATTACCCAATGTTATTGCTTCTTACAAAGAAAAACTAAAAAAAAATGCAAGTGAATTACCCTAGAATTTGAGGTGACTTTTTGTCAATTTTTGCTTCAGTGGACGGAGTATTATCTGACCAGAATTTAAACCAGAATCTGTGCTTTTCCAAGAAATTTTGATTAGTACTAGTACAGTAAGATGGAATAAAAAATCCACAAATTTTATTTTGCATTTGCACAAATGGACCTCAATTCCATGTTCTTGGTTTTTAAGGGGCAAAATTCAGACTTTCTCTCACTTTCTTATTGCTCGTAATCCTGCACTTCATGATTCAACCAAGTCAAGCAAAAAGCAAGTAGCATGAGAAAGAAGCTACCAGACTGAGTTTTGCTCATCGCCCTGGCAATTTGAGAAAGTATGTCAGAATTAAGATGGTAAGGGGGTAATCATATTATACACCTACTGGTAGGTATAAATAATTTATTTCAGTCAAATCTTCAATCCCTTAGCTAACTCCTTTACTCCCAAATTCTTGTTAATAACTCTCCTGTCTGCCAAACCATTCTTGTAATGTTAGTTTGGAGAATTTTGTATTAGATCAGCTAATAATGCCCAAATTGATATTTTTTCTTCAATCCTATTTCTTATCTGTTTGATATTGTATTTATAATGTTAGGAGAAATTCTGGTTTGGTCACTCAGGGGAGTTAGAGGGTTAAGTAGAGGACAGATCAACAACTTAGTTTGACCAATATCATTATTATTATTATTATTATTATTATTATTATTATTACTGCTACCACCAGATACAGATTTATTATTCATTTCTCAATATTTTATTCATTTTTCATTCTTTATTAATATTTATAGGCTCAGAAAGTTCTAATTTGTTATAAATGTGGGTTTTGTAAACCTATTCCTTCACATTCAATAATGCATTCTTTCGCATCAGACATCTGCTGAACCTTGAACTTTGCCTGAAAGAAAAAAAAAAACCTTGACAATTTTTAGAAAGGAACGAGGAAGTAAATAGATGTTATAGAAAGATTTTTTTGGGCTAGTCACGAGCATGGGACAAAGGAAAAATTGTGAGTCCCCATGAGGAATCAAACCTCAGACCTTCGGATTATACACTCCGATGCTCTACCACCGAGCCACAGAAACTCTATGGCGAGCAAGGCCCATTACAAAGTTCATATTCGACACCCATCCTGCATACCGCAAGGATCAGCAATGTCGAAAGCATCATCTTTTGTAGAGAATAAGAAAGATGGTAAGTTCTGCGCACGGTAAATAAAATATGAAAAGATGTTTACTGGTATTCTCTTAAAGAATATCTCTGCAACCCTTTGATGGCAATATCACCCCTGAATCACGCAACAAGGTCACGAGAATGTAGGAAATGATCATCAACTAAAGAGGTTCTTGATTGTTAAACAAGTTCTTCTTGTCTGCAACTCAGGAAACATATGGAGTACAGTATGGAGATTATGCATACTGATAAAGGGTCTACAGGGTTAAGGAGCAAATGATGACTCCAAGTGAAAACAAGCAAACTGCCTGACTTGTAGGAAAATATAGGGGGTAAGTTTCTAAAGAAATTTAATTTAATTTTAATTTAATTTAACATAATTTATATAGCACTAACTCCACTAATTGACCAAAGCGCTTTACAATTCATGATATTAAAATAATTAAAAAGATCCCACTAGTAATAAAATATGAATAAATTAAAAACCTATTTGCAGACTTATTTATAAAAATATTACAGTAAATCCTATTCCAAATTATCAAAAAGTTAAAGTGCACCTACACTCAAAAAATTTTTTTTGCTTAACGAAGTAAGCTTATTTTTTTGAGTATTTCTGCGCAAAAATTTTTTTATTTGCTCAAATCTTCAATTTTCTATGCCCAGTCAAAATACGGAAAATCGGCCGCCATCTTGCCCCACGACCGAGTTTAAAGAAGAATGGCTCTAGCGGGTAATGTGACGTCAAATCGAGAACACGAAAGTCTGCATCTCACACATTTTCACTTGTTTGGGAAGATTGTCGTCGATATCGTCCGAAATATGCCGACTAGGTGTGTTGTATGAAGATTGTATGCAGCGCGATACCCTCTTGCAAATTTCGCACGTTGCTACATCCTTCTACAACACACTTAGTCGGCATATTTTCGGACAATTATCGACTACAACCTTCCCAAACAAGTGAAAATGTGTGAAAAGCAGACTTTCGTGTTCTCGATTTGACGTCACATTACCCACTAGAGCCATTCCTCTTTAAACTCGGTCGTGGGGCAAGATGGCGGCCGATTTTTCCGTATTTTGACTGGGCATAGAAAATTGAAGATTTGAGCAAATAAAAAAATTTTTGCGCAGAAATACTCAAAAAAACAAGCTTACTTCGTTAAGCGAAAAAAATTTTTTGGGTGTAGGTGCACTTTAAACATTATATGCTCTTTTAAAAAGATTGGTCTTTAAGTGTTTCTTGAATGAATTAATTGTATCTAAACTTCTAAGATCTAATGGCAGCTTGATCCAGAGTTTAGGTGCTCTTGACTTCGGAACAGCCAGAAATTTTTTATCAGTAGAGCGTAGCGTACGTGAACATGTACGATAACTAAGTAATTCTGTGATTAACAAATGGTAAACACCACAGCATACACTATTGAGTTATGGATGCACATGGGAGGTTGCTAAGCACGAAAGAAGTGTAAGAGTCGCTCGAGGCGATAGCCAAGAGCGACTCTAGCTTCTTGAGTGCTCAGCAAACCTCCCAAGAGCATCCATAACTCAATAGTGTACGCCGTGGTGTTTACCATTTGTTTTATAACATAACATTAACACATTGTAGCTAAAGAGTTCCCTTTTATTTAACAAATCTTATGTGACCAGAAAAAACAAGCACGCGCAGAAAAATAGTCTTTGCATTTGCTCACGTCAGCAGCGTACACCCATGGGCAAATGGGGGATGCTAAATTGAGCAATCAGAGCGCGCGCTTTACTTTGGTTATGTTATAATGTCTAATGGTGCCATACCATTCAAGAAAATGAGGTGCTGCATCAGTGGGGGGTATAACAAGCTAATTTTGGTTTTTTCAACTCAGTTGATAATGAAAGTTGGCCATGAAAAGTTTAACAGCTGATTTTTTGAGAGTTAGCCCTTCATCAGAGTGAAGGGCTAATTATACGCACTGGTGAGGCAAAGGGCTAACGCTCAAAAAGTCAGCTTGAATTTCTTTATGGTGACCAATTTACATTTATTTAATATCAACTCAGTTAATAAAACCAAAATTGCCTGGCAGGAAAATATTTGTGACAAAGTCCTAACTGGTTCTAGTTTTTGCAATTGGTTTAGAAAGGGGAAGGGGGGAATTTCTGGACCAATAGAAAACAGCAGTGAACCACAACTAAAGCAATCCTAGACAACTTTTAACACCCTATTGAAAATTTTATCGCTGTCACCACATTCTCATTACAATTTTACAAGTAACTAAATCATGGCAACTATAATCAAATGTGCAAGTCTAAAGCTGCCCTCAGATGTCGACCCTTTATCTCCCAGAGGTGATTAACAAGTAACTTCTCCTAATAACATTCATACATTGTCCAGAAAGCAGGTAATGAGAATACTCAAACTTATCAGGTAGAAGTTATCTTGAATATATCTGTTCAACAAAGTTGAAATGGTAAATTGGCCACCGTTGCGATTATAAGAGCTGACATTTTGAGCGTTAGCCCTTTGTCGAAGCGATGAAGGGCTAACGCTCGAAACATCAGCTTTTATAATCATAACAGTGGCCAATTTCCCATTTCAACTTTGTTCATATATTCAGACAAATTGTTTTGTTACCCCCACCGACACAGCCCCAAACAGTTTCCATAGAAACCATCTGCCTTTAGTCGGAAGTTATCTTGACCTAACACCAGATTCTTGTAACTAATTTACAAGGAAACGTGTTGCCAGCTGGAGGAGAGATTATTAACAATCAGATCTTAGGAATTAGAAGGTTAAACAACACTTGTTCCTTCACATGTACACTTGCACACTCCAGAAACAGCCATGTATGGCTACCACTTATTAAAGCTAAGAAACAAAGACAACACTAAAGTTTCAACAGTGCACAAGTAGCACACCTTCATGATTTTCTCAGCAACATGAATAGCTGTCTGTGTGTGCATGGTGAGTGGTCCACATTTCATGGATGAACAACCAGCAGCCAAAGCCATAAATATGATCAGCTGGGAACAGAGAAACACAGATTGAAATAATCAGTAATCATAACCAGTGCATTATTACAATCTGCTAAATATCAAATGCTTGACAGCCAATCTTTCTATGTTTGACCCCAAGAAGGTCATGATTTGGCCTCACAACTTCGTGCATTTGGCTAGATACAAGCAACAGGAGAACGCCTCTAACATGGCCTTAATATGTTAACTCCCATTAATGACCAAGACAGATTTTCTCCTTATAATAGCAATACAATGTCAAGCAGACAAGTGATGAGAATAAAGAAAAATAGTCCTATCAATTAGGGGATTACTAGTTGATCCAATACCAAATTCTCCAGGCTTGCATCATAAACATTGCATTCAATCAGCGAGAATCAGAACAGTAAACTACATTACTTAATTCCTGAAGCCCATAGCCCTTGTTATAATTTAAGGCGCCAAAGAACATACAATGTACCAGCAGCCAAGACAAAGCGTTTTGCTAATTCGTTTTTCATGAAGGGTGCGGCTATAACCAACCCAAATTGAGATGTAATAGAACTTTTAATAGAACTTTAAATCGTCATATTTTATATTTGTATAGCAGTAGCTTGTAAAAATTGTGCAATTCAGTATTTTACTGCAAGGTGATTTTAATAAACCAGTCTATCTATCTAGTCTATGTATATAGCAGACAGTAAGGAGAAATGCTGAGATCTTGGAAGTGAAACTCCCAAGGCTGATATTAACATGTAACTTCTCATTGTGATTCCAATATGCCACCTTGCAAACAGGTTGGGAGAATAAGCAGGCTTATCAGTAAGAGCAGGATGTTATCTTCTGGTTGATAAAATAGCAAATTCTCCCGTCTAATTTGTAAGAAATGTATGGTAGTCAGTAACGAGAATTACTTAAATTGGATTGTGAGGGTCACAACAAATGTAAAAAGTTAAGGTTTATAATAATTATTCTACACACTCAACCTGATCCTGCAGATGTTCATCGACACAACTGTCACATTGGAGATTATTTGTGAGCTCATCAACTGCGTTTCTTGCAACTTCCTGTGGAGGAACACCTTAACCACAGAAAAAAATACAATAAGATACTTCTCATTATCTGATTACAGGTTCCAAGAGGAACCTTCACTTGCTGTGGTAACTAACAGGGAGTAAGATCAGACATCCATGGCCGCACTACTAGAATAAGAACTGTTGTAGATACCAAAGTTAACAGCTCATCTGCAGGTCAGCGCAGTTTATTGTATAGAGCAGTCACAGTGTGGAACAATCTGTGGGAGGGCATTACATGTATTGACTCCTTTCCAAGTTTTAAACTAGTTTCAAAGAATATTGCTTAAAAGTACTCAAATCACATACAGTTTTCAAATATAATTATCATATGCATAATGATATCATTATAACTTTTATTCTTTTAAAATCATTTCTTACATGAAATTTGAAGAAGTAAAATTATTATTATTATAATTATTATTATCATTATTAGTAAGGATGTATTATTATTTATTATTATTATCATTATTTTAAGGATTTTATCTTAATTTTTAAATATTTTTGATGATTAGAGTGAATTATCGTTATTTTTATTAGACATTTTAACACTTTTTTTAGATTTAAAAGCATTTTATCGTAATTTTTGTAATAATTTTTGTGATTGTGGTGAATAAAGGATTATTTTTATATTATCATTATTATTATTACTATTATTAGTAAGCTGAACCAAGAGAGTAATTTGGGGCAGCATGGGAAACATAGGAGTCTCCCTTTGACCTGTGACCTCAGACCTGTCATCCACCTTCTTCACGGGGTATTATATAACATTATTCAACTTACAGTGTTGATCAGTCAGTTTTCCTTGTGTATGTGTAATATACCCCTCCTCTAAATATGTTATCTTCCATCCATTGGGTTTTGTTGATATTTCCAGCAATAGTTGCTATCTAGTGAGGTTGTGACTTGTTTTCTTAAATTGTTCTTAATAATCAAAACTGAGAATATTTTAATCACTAAACACACTTGCCAGTTTACCTTTCCTTCCAATTGCAGATCCAGCAATTTTACATCCGGTGGAGGATTCAGCCAAAACCCTGAAAAATTATCATTCATTAAAATGCATACTGTGCCTGTGTATGTAAAGTGTACAATGAAGATGATAACATTTTGAACATCTCTTAAAATATCCATTACAGTAAATAATTGCAAGCTTTGCAAGGTCATAAGGCAACTGAAAGACATTTGTGAAAATAAAGGACAACTTTTTTATAATTATGCACAATTTTGAATGGAGAATCAATTTGTTGGCAGTTATTACCAACACTTTGTTATCATTATTAATAATTATTATAATAATTATCATTATTAGTATTATTATCAGAGCAATAAAAACTTATGTATGCTAAACAATAGTTGAGGCACAGTAGGGTGCTGTTGCAGAACCTAAAGGCCAACAGGAAATGTGAAAAATAAAATGAAAAACTAATTGTAGAAACTAATACATTAAAATGTCCTCTAAGTAGAGCTTGAAAAAAAACTTCCAAAACAAATTATCATTACATAACTTACAGTATTAATACATTACTAATTAAAATACATTTAAATGTCTTCTAAGTAGAGCTCGAAAAAAACATTCAAAACTTATTACTATTATTATTATTATTAATACTATTATCATTATTACTGTTATCATAATCATTTTTACTATCATTATTATTATCATTATTATTATCATCTTTATTATCATCGAAAAGCTCGAGAAGTAAATGTAGACAACGTGCTTTTTTTAGCTCCTGATGGCAATTTTAATGTTTTTCGATTTTTAGGGTTTTTATCAAACTTTTGTAAATATTTTTGGTGATTTTAAATAAAGACTAGGCGGTTGTCAAAAACTATTATTACTACTATTATTATTATTACTATGATTATTATTATTACTATTATTATTATTACTATTATTATTATTATTACTATTATTATATTTTATACTTTTTTACACTTTTTTAGAATAAGAGTGTCACTTTCCTTCTCATATACTTTTTTAATGTAATTTACTCTAACTTATGAGCAGGATAATTTCGATGCACATTTTCTAAAATTCTTTCATTATGAACTTCTAGTAGTTGCTTTCGCAATTTTTATGTGTAGGTCGTTTTTGTTATCAAAGTTAGTTTGGGTCTGATATGAGTCTGATCCTAGAGAACCGAATTATTATGATTATTATTGTTGTCGTCATCATTATTATTACTATTATTATTATTATCCCTCAATAATAACTGGTGAAAATTATCGCCCAGATCTTCTTTTCCTAATCCAGTCCAAGTGCCTATATGTTCTAGAATTAACAGTTGGTTTCAAATCTAACCTGTACAACAATGGAGTATGTACAACAATGGAGTACATAAAAAAGAAAAATATCGGAACTTGATTAACGAAATGAGTAGAACTTTCAGAAGTGTGAAATTTGTAAAATAATCTCTCCATGAGCTCCTCTGGTGTATTCTCAGATGAATGCTCTACATTCTTAGACATGATGAATGACATAGGCATTGACAAAAAGCAGCAACTTTACATAATCAAGAAAATGATAAATATAGCTATGAGAGCAACATATTACGTCTTTTGTTGTAGAGATAGGAATAGGAATTTTCCATAATTTATTATTACATTATTCCAGATCCACTTCCATGTGCCTTGTCACCAGGTTCTTTGTCTGGTTCTATTTTAATATCCTGCACATCTGGGTACTTCTCCTTTAACATCCTATAGGCTACTTCAGCCATAGTCTGAGCTATCTATCGAAAAACATTTAATCAAGCGTATTGGTAAATAATACGCAGAGGCCCTTTTACCTCGCGCAATAAAATTACTAACAACTTGACTGTAAGAGTAAGGTCTAGGGTTCAAAATTAGCTTTTCTTTTTTAGGCAACAAGAAGTGATTAAATGTTCACTTCTGTTTCAATCACCAATTAGAACAATTTGGATGCAAAAAATTCTGCTTTAGCCCCTGGTGTTGTGGCCTCAAGCCTTTAGATTGTTCATACTGGTCTCCATTAAGACGAGCATTAAGTCAAACCGAACCAGCCCGTGAAATCTTGCAAATAAATCAATTAAATAAATAATTTTGATATTCAAGTTCAAATTCACAAATAAAAAGGATCTTAGGACAAAGTCTCTAGTTTTTAAAGAAATTTCCATGCAGCTATCAAAACCGTCAACTGTAGAATAGAAAAATTCTGGGCTATATTTAAGACAAATGTTGTATCATTGCTAGCTACAATTTAATTTAATCTCAAAACTGTTTAGCATCCTTATTTTCTTTCCAGGAATGTTACTAACCCGAATTAAGGTTATATGAGATTGACAACAATCTACAAACCTTGAAAGGTAAAACACCAGCAACATAAGCACGACCTGTAATCTTGGTTAATGTTCCTCTTTCTAGTAACTGCAATGGCTTCAACTGCTTGACAGGCTTTACTGTGACATGAACTTCCCCTCCTCCCTTAGGATAATAACCTCTTGTACAAAAAAATAAAACAACAACAAAAAACACATTAGTTTGGGTGAAATGCTTTTCTGGCTCATTAGATGGCATGGGACACTTAGAGTGGTCCTTCATTGTAATTTAGTTACTACGATCTCATCTCAAACTCAGGAAAATAAAGTTAACAAACAGACTTCTAGTATGTAAACTGGTTTGTCATTATGAATAAACATTTTTAATTTAATTTCAATGGAGAGCTCTGTTCATTTAATAAGAAAAGTTGTGGTTATATTTCACTGAACATCTTTTCTAAATTAGTATTCTAAGAGTGACACTTTGAAATTTGAGATGAAATAAGGGAGAGTGATTCCAGGTTTTCTTCTCAGGAGTTAAACCCGCCTTTAGCACCTACATCATAAAAGGATCCTAAATGTTGTTCTTATCAACAATTATAGCTTTGCTTTTAGTTGACTAAGTTTACATGAAAAACATCTGGAAACCCCAAGGAGGAGGACATAACCCCCATCACAGACAGGGGGCATGCCCCCCTTCCACCCCATCTAGGTTAGGGGTTTCATGCTCTTCAAACCAGGATACTTTCTGATTAAATGGGCCTTCTAGCAATTGGACAACTGACCTTTTTACAATGTCACAATCAAAGTCTACACCAAGTCTTTTTAAAGCCGGTCTCAAAATCTGCATATAGAGGACAACATTATTTTATTTTTCAAAAAGTGCATTTATCTACTCAAAATGACAATGAAGACTGCATTCTGCAGGATGTAAGTATTGAAATGCATTATGAAGATGATGAACAGTTCAGGTTACTTTCTGGTAAAAGTGGAAAAAAACAAGGTAGTCAAAGAGCTTACATCCATCATGTAATCAATGGGTGGGGCCATTTCAGCATTTGTTCCCCCTTTAAGTATCAACTTTGATGTTGCAGGAGCATACAGCAGGCAAGGAAGTGCCAACTGCATAAGCAAACCAACACTCCTGTGCGAAGAGAAAGAAAAATTACCTGAAACAATAATTATATAAACTGAAATCACATTATTCAACTCTTCTAACAAGTCTCATTCAAAGTAATATGGTCTTGTCACACAGGACCCAACAACGATTGCAAAGAGAAAAGGAAATATAACAAAAACTATCCAGAAACATGATCCCAAGCGTAAAAAACATTCTTCTTATTCCCACTCAATTCTGATTCTATTTCAGGCAAAAATACACCTGTCCATCTTGAGCCTATAAGTTCTACTTAAGATTTGATTTTTCATAAATCAAGTTTTTAGTTTAAAATTACCGTACATTATCCTAATTATCATTAATTTTCATCAGAATTATAGAGATTTAGCACTGCGTTTATGTGAAATGGCAAACATCAGCTTGCCCTATCACTTTTCACATAAAACAGCACAAAACTTACTCCTTTAGTTTTGCTGAGCTCACACTATCGTGGATTTGAAGGCACCCTTGTATGTCGGACTTACAAGGAATAATTTTGGTGCCCTTAATTATTCCTGCCAGCTATTAACTACTATCCCATAAAAGAAAAAGTGAAGAAAATCTTATGTACACGGAAAATGCAAAACAGAATACTTTCACTCGTTGGGCAATTAATCAAACATATCTCCCCCAGTTGTACAAGTGTCTTGAGTACAGTACTGAACAGCTGTGGAACCTATTTTGTCACCTTCAAGTTTTCCAGCAGTAATATCTTGCACGAGTTGCAGTCATTAAAAATTATCATTAAACTATTATGGGTATTATTACACGACTCGGGCAGTCAGAGGGTCAATAACTAAAATCAACCAATCAAAATGCTCTATTGCCGGTCAATGTTCTCACAGTATTGGACCGGGCACTATCCTAAATGGTTCCAAATGATACCGCACTTGTGTCCCTTTGAACTTCAGTCGTATAATAAATCTCTTATTAACCAAGCTTGCTCGGGACCATACTGGCAGAATATCGGCCCTCGATATTTTTGTATGGACCTCACTGCGCTCGGTCTGTACTGTCAAGACCTCGGGCCAATATTCTCCCAGTTACGGCCCTCGCGCTTGGTTAATAAGATATATTATTATTCAAACATATCTCACCCGGCTGTATGAGTATCTGCTAAAAATGTCCCTGAACCAATACTTCCAGGATGAAGAGAAACTGATGTGGAACCAATTTTGTCACCTTCAAGTTTTCCTGAAGTAATATCTCGCACCAGTTGTAGTCCTTAAAAATTATGAATAAATAACAACAATAATCAGCTCCATGCCCTTGAGCAGAAATCTACAGGTGCTAAACAGGTACTTGTAACTAAATATGCTGGTTTAAATGTAAGTAAAAAATATTTCTTTGACCATTTATAGACTCGCTGTAACTGGGTTACACTTTAACCCTTTAACTGCCAAAGACGATTAATGTATAACTTCTCCCAATAATTAACAATTATTCGCCGAAGGCGAGGTGAATAACGTTGAATAATCCCCAAGACGAAGTCGAGGGGATTATTTGACAATATTCCCCGAACCTGAGGCAAATAATTGTTTTAGTATAATTTCAGAGCTGAACAACAGAGAAATTTCTAAAATCATAACATTTTAGTAACATTTATTAACATTTTATTTTAACATTTTATATAAACGGCGTGGAGCGGTTTATATAGCATCATATAAGGAACCGCTCAGCCAATCAGAATGCTGGAAACTCTTTGCTCAGCTCTGAAATTATACTAATATCCAATCCATTTATTATCCAGCAAATAGGCAATAAGAAAACTAGAACTTATCACGTAGATGAATAAAAGCAGTAAATTTCTAATTAAAGAAACTGCATGTGGTGCTAGTCAGTGAGGGTATTTTAAGATGAGTTGATTTTATCAACTGAGTTTATTTTATTTAATATATGTAAATTGCCCATTGCAAAAAGTTTCTAAAGCTGATAAACAATAATGATAGATCAAAATTATCACATTTAAGTTATTATCTAAATCCACCACCAAGTTCTCATAACTTGTTTACCAGGAGATTTGTAGCAGTTAGATGGGAGAATTAATAACAATAATAATAATAATAATAATAATAATAATCATTTATTTCTTAAAGAGTGCTATTTGCAATGGCAGATCAATAGTGCTTTACATTTAATATCTCTAAATGTTAAAATCTCAACTAATTCAAAAATAATTACATATTACAGTTAAATTGGCTAGTATATAAAATTCATAACTTAACCATTATTGAAAGGATTGCCTAAAAAGTCTTAATTGGATACCTAATTAATAATAAGATTTTGAGAATCATAGGGTTACACAATAATTACCTATTTCAATCAATATTTTTATAGACTGATTCTATATGACAATTTTTGCTGCCACCATTGTTTGCTTTTTTCATTCATTGGCATACATGCATTTCTTTATGGAAAACAACCCAATTTAGTTAAGGGAGAAATTATTTCAAGAATCATAGATCAGAAGTTATAGTGTCTAAGAGTTTGAAATATGTGAATTCTGAAGCTGCTTAGAAGTGAAACTCACTGAAATATGCGTCACCACAAACAGCCAAGTTTCTGGGTGGCAAAAGAAGTGTGAAAACATTCAGGAAGGTGTGGCTTCTGAGCTCAGTTAGCAGTTGCGTCCATGTATCTGGGGACACAGGATTGAATCCTGCCGAGGCCTGGATTTTTTCAGGCATCTCTTCTATAATTTCTTAAATTGCAGTGTCGTACCTACAACGATCATCTCATAGTTCAGCCTCTAATTGAGGTTGAATTTCAGATGTTGAATTTCAGACTTGAGATGTTGAATTTCAGTTTCCAGCTAGGTTTTTTTCTTTTTTTATTACACAACTCGGGCAGTCAGAGGGCCAATAACTAAAATCAACCAATCAAAATGCTCTATTGCCGGTCAATATTCTCTCAGTATTGGACCGCGCACTGTCCCGAATGGTCACGAATGCTACTGCACTTGTGTCCCTTTGAACTTCAGTCATATAATAGATCTCTTATTAATCAAGCTTGCTTGGGATCGTACTGGAAGAATATCGGCCCTCGGTCTTTTTTGTGCGGACCTCGCTCCGTTCGGTCCATACTGTCAAGACCTCGGGCCGATATTCTCCCAGTACGGCCCTCGCGCTTGGTTAATAAGATATATTTATCGAATGAATATCTGGCTATCGATAGCAGGGTGAAAAATACCTGTCATATGTTGAGCTCTCAATCCCGGTGCAGACCTTCCAGCTCTGATATTCTGAACACAGACTGCAGAATTCAACAGGCATGCGAAGCTGACTGCATTCCGAAGGATTTGACCTCCCTATATGTGGATCGAAAGAGCGAACACTCGTTTAAATTATTTTTGTGTAGGAACAAATTTGGAATTAAATACTTTACATTACCCCTTCCATGACGCTTCCATCGATTATCAAAGTGCCGTTTGAGTTATCTGCTTCAGAAGCCATTTTCACAATCTTTTTAAAAGTTTTAAATTATGCGAACTCGTGCAGTACAGTTTTAGAACTAAATGGGCAAAAAAAGTCAGGCGCACACATTTTACTGAGAAGGAACTGGGGAACAAAGAAGCATTGTAACCTTGCCTAACTATAAATAGATTTGTAAACAAGTAGCCTTGTTTTCAAGGATGTGCTGTCACGAGACGGGTTTTTACATAACATCTTCCCTCATCCGGTAAAGCTGAAACCAAAAAGGCTTCTTCAAAGATGTGCTGTACCAGTGAGACGGTGATTCTATCAACAGAGACGAATCTAAGGCTGCTGTTTGCCAATTGTTCGATGTGTAGCGAAGAAACACTTGTTTCACTTTTGGTGGGTCAGTTGATGAAAATATACAATGTTGCTCGAAGCGCGTCCATTTATAGGTTGGCTTTTGGAGGTACATCATTTTTACCCTCTCAGTTACTTAACCGAGCAAATCAGTCGCTGCTTAAGGGCTGTGGTTTACAACCTCAGGGTAGAAGAACCACAGAAAGTCTTGGTACTGATCTTGATTCAAAACCTTGTTGCCTCGAAGTCACCGCTGAAAAACTTTTGTCCTTTGGAAAAACGCGATTACAGCAAATATTTGGCGAAGACTCTTCAACAAGCCTAAATGAATGTGAGCTTTTAAGAATTTGCAAATCAGCCTTGGGTTTATCCCTAGGAAACTGTCTCCCGAACACAGGTGCTGGATGTACTTCAATTGGCGTATGTCAAAATGGAGACAGCCTTTCTCGTGCATTGTGGCATGTTGCGGAGGAAAAATGGAAGGACGCCACAGACATGCTTTCCGATTATACACCAGATAAGATGCTTCATTCTGCGGTAGAGGTACAACTGTTTAAATCTGTTTTACATCGATGCAATTTTTGTATTTTAATTTGTAAATACAACCCCATGACCCTTTCTTTGTTTCCACTCTTGAGATGAGGAGGGCGCCATTGAAGGCGTCGAGATTTCCGCTCAACCCAACACGTACTTCATTATGCATACAGTTCTTGGGTACTGAAAACAATGGTGAAAACTATAGATTACCATCGAGACTATGGCTTTCTTTTAAGAATAGTATGGGTCTAACGGGTTCTACAGAAGTCTTTCAGTGTTCAAGGCAGATCAGAGGAGTTTTGAAAAATGAATTGTAAACTAACATATAAAGAAACAAAAGAGATCCATACGTGAGACAAGGGAATAAATAAGGGGGAAAACCAACCCTTCAAAAGTACACCCCAGTTGCTCTGAAACATCATGAGAGCCCAAAAATATCTCATTTTCCACTTGCAAACCTCAGAATTACCCAAAGGAAAACCACAATTAAAGATGACAGTAGATTGAAATAAAGAGTAGATTGAAATAAGAAAAAGGTGAGGTTCTCATTTGTGCATCTTGCTACCTGAAATATAAAACTACTCAGATTTAGTGGTCTTCCTTGCAGTTGGTCATTTTGCTCAAAAAAATATAAAACGACATATCAGGCCAGAACTTTTACCATAATTAACTCCCAGAAGTGATGGACATGTAACTTCTCCTTAGGTCACCCATAATGTATACAGCAAAGAGGTTTTGAGAATACTCAAATGCATCAGGAAGAAGTTGTTATCTAGATTTAACACAAAGTCTTGTAATTAATTTACAAGGAAACATGTAGCAGCTAGACGGGAGAATTAACTGTAACATTTGGATTTGAAAGGTTACAAACAAAGTTATACCTAAACCATCAGAGAACCAAACAATGTTTTTGTCTTGCAGCTGGCACATGACAGAATGAATGAATTGATCTATAACAACTGTTTGGTTTCTCAGTTGTCTGAAGCTGGAGATTTTCTGATGTCAACAACACAGTGCATTAAAACTGAAGCTGAAGTTCTTTCCCAGCTGTTGTATGAAACACAAGAGCATGCCCTTGCTGGCATGGCAGAGTTTTGGAACATGATGAATGAGTACAGCCATCTTGCTTGTGATGGAATAGAGCTGTTCTCGCAGTACATTTGGAACACAACACCCGAGTTTTATGAACCAGCTTTGTTGGATGTAAATTTGTTCAACATGGATGATGAAGATCTTCTCGTTGTGGCCGAGGAACCAATGCCAAGGCGTAGAAGATCAATGTTGTATATTGGTTCAAGATGAATAATTTGCATGACATCCAGAAGTGAATTGTGCAACAGGATGGATATGAAACAAAAAGTCTGTCTCATAATCTGGTAACAACCACTGGTACCAGTAGTGTGCCAACTCTTAGATCACTGTATACTTGATGAGCCCTGTAGCAATTGGATTAGATCTTTAGCATTGCTAGAACACGAGCCCTTGTTTGCAAGCAGACAGCAGTTAAGGGTCTTATTGGTAGTGCTAGACCCTCACTAACCAGCTTTTCATGAAATCCTCGTAATTGAAAAAAATTGTATTTGAATTAATATTATATATATACCTATGTATATAGAAAAGCCTATTGCCAAAATGGCTGTTTGTTGCACTTTACGCTTTTGTTCTAAAGAAGCACGACTTGTGTATTTGAATTTTGCACAGCAGAAATCTGAGATACACTATGTGTATACTTGTTTCTGATGTTTGGTACAGTGTAGTTTCTGTTAGATGCCTACCTGTATTGCTGTAAGGTCTGGTAAATTTTAGTTACTGTTAGTAGTGCAATAGATAATCATATTATTGTAGATACTGCAAGCAAACATGCTGTAAGTAGTGTAAGATATGGTGTGAACTGAACTGAATATTAGGCACAGTTGACAAATCTTGATTCAAATTGGATTCAAAAATTGTAATTTGGGTAACGAAAAATGATTAAGTATTTCCAAGGGAGTTTCACTTTAGGTCTGGATTTTAAGGGGTGTCTTTGCCTGAAATCTTTGTAGGGTATCTTTAACTTTTAATATGAAAAGTGTGATTGTTTTAATGCAGTTAATTTGAGTTTTCCCTAAGCATTTTGTGAGAGTTATCATATAATATAACTAGCCTAAAATAATGATTGTTTATTGTAAGGAAAGTTTGATGCAAGCACCGTAATGAATAATTCACATGACATCCAGAAGTGAATTGTGCAACAGGATGGATATGAAACAAAAAGTCTGTCTCATGATCTGGTAACAACCACTGGTACCAGTAGTGTGCCAACTCTTAGATCACTGTATACTTGATTAGTCCTGTAGCAATTGGATTAGTCCTGTAGCAATTGGATTAGATCTCTAGCATTGCTGGAACATGAGCCCTTGTTTGCAAGCAGACAGCAGTTAGGAGTCTTATTGGTAGTGCCAGACCCTCACTAAAGAAAGAAATAGAGTGGGAGCAGGATGCATTGTTCTGATTAACCCTTTAACTGCCATGAGTGACCAAGACAGAATTTCTCCTTACATTGTCAATACAATATCATGCAGCCAAGTAGTGAGAATAAAGAAAAATGTCAAGTAGGGGATGATTGGTTGATCAATTGCTAAATTCTCCAAACTTACATCATAAGAACTATCTGACAGACAGTAAGGACAATTTCCTCTCAGATCTTGGCAGCAAATGGGTTAAAGTAATAAACTGAAAGAATGTGTTGGTCAGTCTCTGTTTCTTGTACTCAGGCAAAGTGACCCATGCAGGTGAGGCTTATCCCAGCCATCCCAGTTTCTATAGCACAAAGCAACTTGTAATAAGGAGTATGAGTACATCCCCCCCTGGATGGGATGTTGGTCCATCACAAGGTTGTTTAGGCCTGGATTTTAAAGCCAAATAGGGTGTCTGCCTTGTTGGGTATATGAGTACATCCCCTTGGATGGGATGTAAGTCTATCACAAGGTTATTCCCTGCACTTCACTTGGCTTCCCTGACAATGAAACGGCACCCACTTTTACTCACGGGTTTAGAGAATGAACCGATACCTCTTGATCTACAATTACCATTTGGCTAATGCGTACCCCACTAGTCTCTTTTAATAACCACCAGTTATTATCCAACTACACTCCGTAGAGTACAAATAACGCCCAAAACGAGTTCAAATTATCACACGGTGTTTGTACTTCTGAATCAGTGAGCCGGTTAGACAGGTTTTCTCGCATCGCGCAAGCGACGAATTGGATTGAAGTTCCCACACAAAAAAAAAATCGTTTTTCTGACGACGAAGAGTCGGAATAGCTGGCGAATATTGATCCAAGTTTATTAGACGAATCGAACGAAGAAAAGCAGTTAGACGACAATTAAATTTTATCATTTACTGAAGAAAATAGAAACAGCAACGTTGATTTACTGACTTGCTTGTCAGTTTCACAAAAATTCAAGATGTTGTTTTCGTGTCTTGCCCTGCTTGTCGTATATGCATGTCCAGTCTACCACTTCATATCAGAGAAAGGTAAGTGATCATTTTATATAATCGCATATCAGTTAAAATATATTTCCGAGCAGAAATATAACGAGAATTAAGAAAGAGAACATAAACATGGTCTTGCTCTATGCTTTAAATTCTCTCGAATTTTGAGTCCTAATATTTTTTTTTCTTTTTGATTTACGTCAGCGAAACTAGATCTAGCTATTCTTTATTCCTGCTATTCACAAATTGGAAGAAAAATACACAAGAACAGCCAAAGCTGGGGGCTTAAATGGCCTGAGGTCTGCAAAAAAGACGTGAAGAATTTAAAGGAGTAGAAGAAAGCTTTAAGTAAGCTTTGCTGTGTAGGCTAATTAGCTACTCAGAGAAAAATACAGCCTTAGGTTTTTTTTGTAGTTGCTTACTGTGAGATTATTGCGCACAGATAACGGAATATCATTCCAAATAATAGGAGCTTGCCAACTGATAGCAAATTGATACTTATGACAGGTTTTATGCAGGTTAAAACGTGAACGAGTCAAATAATTGTGATATTCAGAATTAAAATGAAGCATGGAGGAAACAGGAGCAGGTAAAAGGTTATTAAAATGTGAGAATACAAAACAGGCAACATGGAATTATAGATAGAGTAAAGTGAAAGAATATTATGCTTAGAAAAAAGGGATTTAGAGGATGTGCGCGGAGGAGAAAAAGTAATCATACGAACGGCTTTGTTTTGAGGTACATAAAGGCTTTCAGGTAAGAAGCATAAGTAGATGCCCATATCAACTGCCATAATTTATGTAAGGTAAGAAAAGAGAATTTATATAAGGTTTTCAGAGTATTCAAAGGTAAGTATCGCCTTGATTTGCACAAGACTCCTATTACTTTAGAGAATTTCAAAATCACAGACAGCAGAGATATGTGGTTTCCAAGATAAATTTTCATGAATGATCATCCCGAGAAATTCGTCTTCCTGCACACGCATGCTGAGAAAATTATTTATAAATATGTTTATATCTGAGGAGTTAATTTGTTTACGTCGTGGGTGAAAAATGATTAATTTAGACTTGGCAGGATGAACAGTGAGTTTGTTGGCATTAAACCAAGAAAAAACATGAGAGAGCTCTACATCAAGAATGGTTGCTAAGGTAGCCAGGTCATCATGATGAAGAAACATGACAGGATGGAAAACGCGTGCACTGTAAGTACCTCCCGTTGTCCCTTACAGAGCCTTTGCAAAGTTTTCTAAGGCTTTGTATGGGACGACGGGAGGTACTTACAGTGCACGCATTTTCCGTCCTGTCATGATATTTGTATCATCAGCAGAAGAGAATGATAGACAAGAGGTTGGAGACATGAAAAAGATCATTCATGTATAAAAGAAAAAATAAAGGTCCAAGAACTGAACCCTGGGGAATCCCACAAACGACCGGTATATACCAAGAGGTATGGTCATGGACCACAATGCACTGCTGTCTGTGGGACAAATAGTTAGTAAGCCAGGATACCTCTAATGCCATAAAAAGTTAGTTTATCCAGAAGTATTTCATGATTGATCGTATCAAATGCTTTCTTAAGATCAATGAAGACTCCAACAGTGTATTGATTGTTTTCAAAACCATCATAAAGTTATTGACAAGTTCTAAGATGGCCCGTAGCAATAGAGTGATGTGATCTGCATGAATCTATAGTGATGATGATTAAGGATATTAAACTTTGTGACAAATCCTGATAACCTGAGGTAAAAAGGTTTCTTGAGGACCTTAGAAAGACAGGGGAGAATAGAAATAGGCTGATAGTTTGAGAACAAAGGAGGGTCATCACTTTTAAAAATTGGAATAATCTTTGCGATTTTGAGTTTATCAGGAAAGACACCATGCTCAAACGATAGATTGCAAATATGAGATAAAGGAGCAGCAAGTAAATCAATTGTTTCTTTGATGGGAGAAATTCACACCCTCACATTTGCTATTTTTTTAGACAGTCAGCAAAGTGACCAACGAGGAAATCTTTATAAGAAAATTGAGTAGATGGAACTTTACTGGCCAGAGAGGGTCCTTTAGCGAAGAAATTATTAAAGTTACTAGCAATATGTGAAGGGTCTGAACATACACCGGTACTGTCTTTCTATCTTTTTAAATTACATGTGCTTCGACGTAAATCGTCCTGTTTTCAAATGAAGTATGAAATCCTCTTTCTTTTTAGAGCTCTGTGAGTAGATATTCATTGAAGATGTCGGAAGGCCGATCAATTGGAAGCTTTAACCTGCCCCTACGGGCAATGATTAGGTAGTTATCATTATCACTAGAGTATGTGGAAACATTTTCCCACACTGAATTACAGCGGAGCTCGCAGCGCGCGCAGCGAAGCCCAATACTCATAAAAAATGTTTGTAATAACCTGGTACAAAAATACAGAGTAAGAAACCAATAATTGGTAAAGCTGAGCTGATTGCTTCAAGCTAATTACAGGTCGAAAGCTTCTTAGAGATTGAGATCAATATTACTGGGATTAAACGCAATACATAAATATATGTGCAGGGCACGAACAGGAAATGGAGATGGAAATTTAAAATTTTTGAAGATTGGTTTGTTCAAATTTCCGCCCGACCTTCAGGCAAAGACTGTGTTCAAATACCCCACCCAAGAGCCAGGTTTGGTGGTCAATATTTATGTAAAGAGGCAAAATCAGTGAACGTGACTTTCTACACATTGACCCAGTTTTCAAACCGAGACCTTGCAGACCTTTTGTTTTTAGCCATTCACTAGCGAAAGTGAACTATTTACCTTTAAACACCTTCACATTAAAAAAGATGAATCACGATAGTGAAAATCACTGGAAAGACTTGACACTTCCGGTTCAAATTCCCCAACCCAGCCTTAGGGTGCGGGAATTTGAACGAGTCAATCTTCAAAAGTTCAAATGTCCTTGGAGTTGGCCGAGGAGATGTCGAAGCCTGGAATTTATTGGCGTATAAAAGCTCAGTTTTAATAATAATAATAATAATAATAATAATAATAATAATAGCACCTTTATTTAAACACGATATGTTTCAAAGCTGAACAGCTTGTGGAGTCGTGTGTAAATCAAATAAACTTCCAAATCAAATAAGTTTAAATGATGGTTTTTGAGGAGAGGGGAGGACCGGAGTACCCGGAGAAAAACCTCTCGGAGCAGAGTAGAGAACCAACAAACTCAATCCACTTATGACGCCGGGTCTGGGAATCGAACCCGGGAGACATTGGTGGAAGGCGAGCGCTCTCACCACTACGCCAACGCTGCTCCCTAAATGAGAGCTCAATCCCATGGCGCCAAAATTCAGATCTGGTTTGAGATTCCATGAATACAAAGACTTTTTTCATCCAAACTCCTGGATCAACTTTCAGGTTGAAACGTGAAATTAAAGAACAGACCAGTTTTCTTTTTTTTTTTTTCAACAATATGTTCAACATTTTCAGTTTTATACTTTAATATTACGAAAAGCGCTTCATATTTAGCCTTCAGAAACCATTGAGGTACAACTCAGCTTTCCGGGAAGTTGACAGCACGCCAGGGATAGAAGCGATCAGTGTTCTAGAAATGGATCTGGAATTTCCACTCAAGCAAATGAAGACGATAGGCGTTGCTAAAGGTTGACTTTTGCTTTAAAACATGTTTTGTTTGCATTTCAGTTAGCTGAACCAGAATTTTGGGATTAAGGAAAGCGTCCTTGATCGCATTTGAGGTTTTTACATCGTAACGGAAGTTGGTAATGATAATTAAATCACAATGTCTATTTGTATAGGTAATCGCATGAGGCCGAGTAAAATTAAGGATTAATATCACGCGTGTTTTCGGAAGTTGCTGAAATTGCCCGAGTCGCACAGCGACCTTGCTAAGCGATTTTCAGCCAATCATTTTCAACTAATCTTACCTGGGGCAATTACAAAAATTAAGAAAAAAATGCCCTCTGTCTTGACCAATCACAATTCAGTAATTTTGCCCCTTATATGATAAGGCTTGATAATATACAGAGATCTTTACGCTGCATGTGGAGCGTTTTAATCATCTGATGTTATAAGAGCTACACAGACAAAGCTGGATAAGGACTTTGGTAAAAATACGATGTCCACTGACAAATTCGCACTACATTTTCCGAGCCACATGAATAAGATTTGGTAGTGTTTATTCTTTTCGTGTTTTTCTATCATTCCGGCTTATATCCCTGTTAGGATTCTTACACGATCTGGATCTGCGACATATAAACTATGAAATTTTTAATCTAATCATATAACCGATGACCTGTAGTTATTCCTTCGAATCAAACTCACCTGTAATTTGTATTGAAGTGTTTTACTGTAGTGAGTAACTATGGTGACCAAAAGTTATCTTTCTTTTTTACAACCGACAAACAAGTTCTTGTCATTAATTCTGATTCGTTCACATGATTTTTCGAGTGTTCAGCATGCTTTGTTTAAGCAGATGAATTGTAAAGTCATTTCTTCTTAAGGCAGTTGCATTCATTTCCAATGACAGTAATATGAATAAATAATGAGTACTCGCTGGCACTTTTTCAATAGCATACCTTTCAACTGAACAAACAGAGCCTGAAATCACAACATTCTGATTCCTACGACGGAAATCAATTATTTTCATCCCACAATTATCAGAAATTGTTGTACCATTTCGCTTGGACGCTCCTCTTGAAATGAAAACTCACTAAGAAAAGATTTCGTCAATCAAAGCAAGCTTTTACTATTTTTAAGCTTTTAAAATCGAATCTTTCATATATTCCGTTTAAAAGATCTGAAAATCGACTGTCATGGAAGCCATTTTAATCAAAACCTATTTCCGGTGATATTGATTTTGAAGATCTTATTGAAATGAAAATTACCTCAACGTCTTTAATTTTGTCCTCAGTGATATAAAATATTGATAACCAGGTTGTTAAACAATTTTTTTCAATTTATGGTGTTTTCTCGTTCTTACTGTCTCCTTGTGGATTTCTTGTTTAAATTTTGGAAAAAAAATTCCTAAAATCATTTTATTTTCTTACAAAGAGAAAGTATCACTTTTCAAATTCAAATTATCATTTTACTAGCCTATGATTTGGTGACCGTATTTATTTTGCGGCCACCGCATGCAAAGTCCCTGCAAACAACAGCGGAACATTTTATTTTCCCACGTAAAGAAGAGTCTTTTCTTTCTCCAAGATACAATCACGAAGTTTGCGATTTGCCATATCCTCCCTTGGTTACCAAGTTAAAAACCCTTTGGAGCGTTTTGGGAAGGATTATTTCCTGAGCTCAATGAATGTAATTTCAAGGTCAATGCTTTCATTACCAGATTATCTAATTCTAACTACACACACACTCTCTTTCCGAAAAATCACGAACTACGGAACATCAAAGGAACAGAAACATTTAGTTATGTGAGAGAAACTAGATAATTGATGCCTGAATTCAGACAATCTTGTCCAAACTTGGGATCAATCTTTTGTCGCTGGGGCGATTTTGTTTACCGATTTTTTTCCCTCTAGATATTCTGCCAAAAAAAGTTAATTTGCACAACAATCTAGCCACTAACACAATTATAAAACCATGCGCAAATCCGCGTGATAGATTCAAAGCAACATTTTCAAAACACCCTTCATTTCACTCGGTAACACCATAATCTCCACCAGAAACTTTTTAAGGAAATCCGCGCCCAGATGTTTTACCACCTCATAATGGGGTTTTTGCCAGTACTTTGTTCTAAAGGTAAGCACCTAGCAGTCGTTTATTTTTTTTCGTCATCTTTTTATTTATGACTCTCTGTGTGACCAACTGTTCGGTTAAAACTTAACGCTTAATATTTTGTGAGGGGATCTCTTTTTTTACATAACGTTCATGCCATAACTGCTAGAATGTCAACTCATAATTATCAATTTGAAATTACAATATTTGAGTCACCTTTTAATACTACTTATCATAATTTTGGCTTCGAAAATCGCTCTAAATCGACGACATTAGACAGCAGCTGCAACAGAAATAAATGGCTACATGCCGTCTCCTAATGTTTTCCTCTCACAAATCAAAGCACTTGCTCAAAATTTTAACTAAATTTGTTCGTGATGGCCTGTATTGAGGCCTAAAATCGCTCCATTATCAAAACCGTTTGTTGGAAAATTTTAGTAGAATTCTGGGCTTTGCTTTGACATACATACGGTCGGACGAAACTCCAAAAATAAATTAATATCGAGAGATCCTCCGGAACTGCTCTAAACATGAAATAATATCGAGTTTCTTCGGAACGGTTCTAAACACTCTGCTCTTAACTATATAAGTCTAAACTATGGGTATTGATTGCGAACAAGATTATCGACAAAGAGTGACACTAAGTTGCATACGGTTATGCGACAACAACAAAAGCTATCACTTAATTGTCTTTGTTCGTGATTATTTGTTCCAAGTTCTTGCACACCTTCCGCGCAGTTTTTGTAATCAAAGTCTTTTCAACATTTTCCCCCTCTTTGACTTATCAAACTCCCGAACGGCGTTTTTTGTTTAGTTGGATTCCAATAAAATGCATTTGGAAATGGTTGTGACAATTTGAATTTTGGCTTCTCGCACATGTTCATCTTTTCCAGGGAAAACCGTCATCTCTCTACCTGACGGACAGTGCGCTCTCGGAGTATCTTGAGAGATAACTAAGACCACGTCTCCGCTTTTAGATTTTTTAATTACAAGCGATCCCCCCATCTATTTCCTTAACCCTTCTTGCATTTATGCATAATTTTGGCTTCGAAATTCTCCTTTAATCAGCGGTATTAACCCGCTGCAATGGAAATAAAATTGCGCCCTGGGAAACGTCTCCCAATTTTATTCTTTCGTAAAATCAAACACTTGTTCAAAATTTCAACCGAACTCGTTCGTACTAGCCAAAACTGAAAAATAGCTTTTTTTTGTTAAGTCGAATGGTGGAAAATTCTAGCAGAGTTCTCACTTTGGTTTGCAGACTAACAGTCGCTACTGCTTTCATTTTTGCGATATATCAGTTTTTAGTACTGCGATACATCAGCTGTTATCACCTATTTCAATAATAATCAACGAACAGAATGTTTTACCATTGGGAAAATATTCATTTCCAAAGCGATACAATCTATTCCTATAGACGCGGTACGACATACGAGGAATCAATATTTAATGAAGTTGGCTTTGCTTTTGTGTTGTCGCTGCTGGACATTTGTATTAACAGCTTCGGGAACGACACGAAAGCGACTCCCTTGTAATATATAGATTTAACCAAGCCTAAAAGCGGAGCTCTCAAGTTCGTAATATTAATGATAACATAAAAGATGTGCATTTGCCAAGACTCGCCTGAGACACCCCTCCCTTTGTTTTGATAGTCTCCCCTACCCTACCCGTGGTTGACCATATTTCAGGGGTAAGGGGCTCTGCCCCACGCACGCGAAGCGCGCGTGGGAGCCTCGCTTTGATAATTAACATATTGAATCATTTTGTTTTATCTATCATCCTTTTCCAGACTCCTTTTTATTAGTTATCAGAAATCAGATTCTTGGCGCATGATTCTATTTTATATATATATATTCAAAGGGGAGCCCAGGTAATCCAGATGAAATTGGACTGGTTAAATCCCTTCCGTCAAAAACAAGATCCAAATAAATCCCTTCTAGTCTTCGAAAAATTCTGACTTTTAACATTTTTGAAAAGATTGAAACGAGTTGAAATGAACATTATGTCTTAAACACTACTAGACATAATTCGACTCATGTTTTACAGATTAAGAAAAAGTTGTCATTTACGGTTAGTCCCATTAGTAAACAGTTTGAAAGAACATCATTTAAGTGTCTCTCTATCAATAACCACTTGGCTTTTCATCATCATCATCATCATCATCATCATCATCATCGTCGTGTTTATTTGTTCAAGCAGGTTGAATTTATTGGCAACTGTATAAGCTGATGTGGACCTGCTGTTTTCCCACCCAACCCACCCAGGGGTTTTAAAACTTATACAGTGTAACTTGTATCGAGCGGTCACCCACAGGGAATGGCGTAATACAGGTTAATAGCTTCCAGAGAATATGGGTGATGTAAATATAGAAAAAGAACCGTCATTTTATACCACAATTGGCAATTTAATGTAAAAAAAAAAAAAAACCTCGGTCCAAAATACTACCAACATTGATTTCGGGAGAGAAATACGGTTTAAATTTTACTTGAGAGATTATTCTTTGAGTGGTTCTGCTTTAAGTGACCATTCAATAAAGGTGGGAGATTGTACAAACGGGTTGATGGGACTCACTAGTGGAGGTGAAAATTACAGTAATTAAGGGACACAAACTTGGCACTTTTGCAACCGACGTCTTAGTACGGTGCCGTTTAATACAGGTTCGACTACATTTTCACATCAGAATTTTAAAAACACCTTGCACCTGGTACTTCTGGACTTTTTCAATGCGTGCATCACCACATAAACAAAAATGTAGATTGGAAACACGTAATAAAACAATTGGGGGTCAAGAAACTCGTTTTCCATTGATTAACACGTAATGACAACAAAATGTACAGGATACGTATCGACAAATACACAAATTATTGACCAGTCATACTAATAAGTTCTATTTTGCATCGTATGTCGTGAAATGGCGTCAATATTGCCAACATTTCGCATATGGAGTGGATATAACTCTTCGTATGCTGATATTAAGTCCACTTCTTTATCAAGGCGCTTTAGGATCATCAAATGCCTCATATGAACATCAAGTCCGCAGAGCCCTGCTAACCAACTATGACATGAACGTCCGGCCAGTGATAGGGAAAAAACCTGTGTACGTGGCGTTTGGTATGAAGATTAGCAGACTCGTGAAAGTGGTGAGTTCACCAGAATGAAATTTTCTCTTTAGCTCCTCGCTACATAGTACGCTGGCTGCCACTTAAATGCCGCATAGATTTCAAGCCTATACTATGCTTCAAAGCAGTATTACATGGTTTATCGCCTGATTATATTTGTGAGCTCATTTATTTTAAAATTCCTACTAAAACACGAACTAAGGTGTAATTGGAAGCTTCTCCTGATGGTCCCAAAGATCAATATGTTACCAGCCTTGTGCCTTTGGAACAGTCTAATACCTCATTGGGCTAAGCGCTATATCTAATTTTAAGTGTAATCTTAAAACTAACCCTTTCAGCCAAGCTTTCACTTTGTTGCCCCAGAAATGTAGAGGTTTCATATTCTTGATGGAATTATTAAGTTTTGTTAATATATATTTATCTTGAACTTTCTATCGATTTTTGTCAGCTGTCATTACGGATGTAATTTTTTTTCTTTTCCTCTGAAATGCATTTGAACATATATTTATGTAATTTGCACTATACAATGTCTAATCATTATTATTGTTATTATCTGGAAGACAGAGAGAAAGCAAGAGGTAGGGGTTATGCTTACCATTTGAATTGAATTAATTTGCAGGACACAAGAGAGCAATTTGTGATTTTGGACACTTGGGTGGTACAGGTCGGTTAATAAGATGTTTATCATATGACTGTGTTTTATATGCCAATTTTTTATATTCTTTGTACCTTTTTTTTTTCTAGACCTTTTTTTTTTCTAGATGCCGGTCTAGATAGGAAAATCTAGACCGCTTTCAATATTGATTTCAGCCAATCAAATTCGTGAATTCGGTAGTTCCCAGTCCTTGTGAGACACAGCCATATAATAATTTCAAATATAACGCGCGCTGTCACTGGTGGAAGGGTCGTGCTCTGTCAAAGTGTACGCAGAGCAGGGAGCTGAGCTAAAGCTGTCAACTGCTGATTTGTACCGTGTGGCTTTATTTCGCTCATTGAAAGTGAAATTTCGGAACAAGCAGGCCGGATTCAAGAATTGGGGAGAAACAGCCGTCTACATTTGTATCGACCATTAATCTCGTTCCCAGATCCTACCGTGTAACTGTAGCGGTAACTGAAATGTGGGAGCAACCGCTTGGCCGTGGAAGGTCTGGGCACGAGACCAATCGACCATTTTCGTTCAAAAAGTTAGAGATAAAAAAAAAAACCCATGCTGCTCACCGAAAGAATCTAATTGTATTTCATTTCCAGTAAGGATTAAACACAAATGTAAACACGACTAAAATTTGATTTACTTTTCAGAAATGGAAAAATATATTTCTCGCATGGGATTCGGCAGCCTATGGAAATGTATCTCGTGTGCAGTTTCTTCCGACTGAGGTCTGGGTACCAGATATTTCCCTTTTCAACAAGTGAGTGGTAGTAAGTCTTTGTAACAAAATAAGAGCAGCAATCACGAATTGCCTGTGATTCCGTAACAACAGTTTACATGAATCAACATGTCGGTAACCTAATAAAGTAGTGCGACTTGCCAAAAATGCATATTTGCAACTGGAACTATAGTTTTCGACAGTCTCGAGCCCAAGGTCAAGTTTACTTCTTGTCAGCGGTATTGTCTATTTGGCGAAAATACATCTGACGAGGAGCCAAAGTGACCCTGGGCTCGAGATTGCTGTTTTCGACAAAATGTCGGCAATGACGTTCAAGAAAAAGTCTTTGGGAGATGTTTTTAAATGTTTCCTCTGCATTTACATTTTAACCTGATTTTTTTTTCTATTTGTAAACTTTAGCGGAGACGACCGTATCCCCTTGGCTGGAGGAAGCACGAAATTTGTTACCGAAATCTCGGTGGACAGCGGAGGATACTGTGTGTGGAGCGGACCTGCTACGTTTAAAGCGAACTGTGATTTGCAAATCGTTAGTTGGCCGTTTGACAACCAGACATGTGAACTGGCCTTTGGTTCATACACATACGGAGATGACAGACTGAAAATTAAACTGTTTGTGGACAAAGGTGGCATATTCACCGGTAAGTATCATATTTGCTGATTCTCAGAGGGGTTGTAAACCAGTGGCTTTTTATCTTTTTCTCGTCGAGTTTGAACTCTTTAGCTCCCAGAGGTGATCAGCATGTAACTTCTCCATATAATATTCAGACACAGTCCAGCAAACAAGCAACCTCGTTCCCAGGGCCTTTTCCCCCAACTAAGGGAAAAGGCCCTGGGAACGAGGTTGACAAACATATCAAGTAGAAGTAGAAACATATCATATTTGCGGATACTCAAACATATCAAGTAGAAGTAGTTGTCTTGAGTTAGGACCAAATTTCTCGTAACTAAGTTAAAGGAAATGTGAAGCAGGAAGAGGGGAGAATCAAGAATCAGATCTTGGGAGTTAAAGAGTCATTAATGCTACAGCCAGTGCCTCAGTCCATAACCACTCTAAGGTCAAACATCAATTTCCACAGTAGTGTGTCTAAAAAGAACAGAAAATCAGAAAGCACTAAAGAATTTAATGCGAGGATCACCTTCCAGAAACCATAAAATCTCTTATCAGTCTCCGGCCGTAAAAACTTACATCTGAGATTAGGACACTAGGAGCGTTTGCATGGAGATTGTGAGGAAGCACCTAACCTCTTGAGAATAAACCAACTCCACCATGCAAGATGATTCTTGCACGCTTAGCAACCAGGTCGCTTACCTTTCACGTGACAGAGTGTCATTCCTATTTTCCCATCTCTCGACATACTGTTCGGAAAAATGATCACAAACTACATCAAGGGCGGATCCATGGGGGGGAGGGTCCGGGGATCAGCACCCACCACTCCCACGTTACCATTTTCCTTGAGTTCCAACGTAAAGAAAGGTTTCTTTTTACTTGCAGATCGCTTCGTTACAAGCGGTGACTGGAGTATAACGAACATCGCAAAAAGGGTTGATAAGACAACTCACGGCGACTGTTGTCCTTATGACTTTAGCGAGGTTGTTTTCACGTTAAAAATGTCTCGGAAACCTTTGTTTCACCTGTTTTACCTCACTATTCCAAGCACGTTGCTTTTGGCTTTAACTTTGACATCCTTTTTTATTCCCGTGGAGAGTGGGGAAAGAATTGGCTTTGTCACTACCATGCTTCTTGCCATGACAGTGTTTCTTCTCCTTATTCCATCCTTCCTCCCTGAAACATCCGATGGCGTCCCAATCCTGGGCATAAGTTTCCAGGCCACGTCGGTCATCATAGCCTTGGTCCTCTTCAGTAACATCTTCGTTATCAAGGTTTTCTTCATGGATGGAACCCCACCTCAATGGGTAGGCAGACTCTGCTTTTGTTGTAGGAAGAAGGGAAAACCGTCCAAACGAGTTCATGTGAACAGCTCGGACGAGTTTCCAGTCCCTTCTATGAAATCTCACCCATCCCTGAGTACCATAGAACTGTCCACCACTTCCCCAAAAGCTGCCACAGCACATGGATGGGGGGAGAAGGAAGAACAAATAACGTGGCAGAAAATGTCAGCTAGTTTGGATCATTTCTTTTTTACGTTTTTTTCCATCATTAGCGTGATTACCATTTGCGTAATCTACTTGGCAAACAAGTAATGAAGTGTAAGAGTGTTGAACCAGAAAGGCCCCGAAGCCATAAAGCTGACAAGTTTTATATTTATGGATACTCATTTTCGTTTTATTTACTAATCCTTTTTTATGATAAAGTGGCTCCACTGCATTGTATGAAAGGAGACACCCTTCGTTTTCACGATTTGATAAGGATTTGGCTTTAGGGCCCATTTGTATAATGTCAGGTATCAGAGACACCTCCAAATTGGTTTGGCCGTGACAACTTTTCACTTATTTCTTTGAAACATTTCAATCAAAGGTTTATAAGAAAATGTTAGTGTTGAGCCATAAAATGAGCTATTACGCCACACGTTATAGGCTATTAATCTTTTGAGCACCTCGAAAAATGACTGCTATCCAGTTTCTCCTAACAATATCACCCGTGAAACACACATTAAGCTCATGAGAATAAAGAAAGGATCAACTGAAGAAGCTCTTGATTGTTAAACAAATTCTCCTTGTCAGCACCTAAGGAAATGTGTAGAGAACAGTATGGAGAATATGCATACTGATGTTAGGGTGGAAAGGGATAGTCCGTATTTTGTATCCTCCTCGTATCGAGCAATTGTCGACTGAATTTGCATGACTTGTGATGAAGAAGTTGTATTTTCCACTAGCAGAGGAACGAAATAAGTGGAAAATGTTTTCTCACACACCTCTGGAGCCTGGGCCCGAGGGTTTGTTTTTGAGTCACGTGCTCAGTGTATTTTAGCAGTTGCTGTTTTGCTGTCCGCCATTGCTGACGTGTAGTTTTGAGCCCCAGTTCCCACCCAACCCTTCTTTTGAATTGATAACACACTCTGTTGGTTAGATATTCTTTATTAAGACTGTCAGCATAGAGTCTTACAACGCTTGTAACTGTTTTTTAATATTACTGTATGTTGCCTACATTACGTATAATGCTAGGCTGTATTGGTTTGAGAAATAAAAGAGTCAGTTGGCAGCGGTCAGCTGGACTATGGCTGCCAGGGGTGTGTGAGAAAATCCTTTTCTTGAGGAATAGTTAAGATATCTTAGAATGCGAGTGATTATCTGCTGTTACTTTTCAGCTCCTACCGGGTGAGGTGTGAAATTAAATGGATAGTTAAGTGTGTCGCCAATGGTCTGTATTCACCAGATGAGATCTCAGCAAGTTGTTGTTGTGCAATGTCGTAATCTAATCCAGCACAGGGAAAAGCCAAACAACTGAGAGATATATAAAGAGCATTCCCTCCTTTTCGGCGAAGTTTGTCACGCGAGTCAAAATCAGTGGAAATACTGCTGTTAGCGCGCCATTGGCAAGTCCTGGAGTGACGCCGATGAGCCCCAGAGTGCTTTTCGGGCGCCTCACTCATAGAGCTCCTGCGGCGCATATCGTCGTTACTCCAAGAGTTCCCTGAGACGATTCTTTTAGGACTTGCGCGATGGTCTTCACCGAAAAGGAGGGACTGGTCGAAGTCTAGCTGAGAGAGGGAAATGCTTTTCTAAATTTAGTGCATCATAGGGTATTTGTTTAAGCGCTCCTCCCCTTATGCGTGACTTGGGCTTTGTACGCCCCTAAAAAACGCAAAAAATTTTGCATGTTCTCTAGGCTAAGTTTAAAAAAAGAGATGTATTTCATGAAACTATCTTCTAGGAAATGATTACAATTAAATCTTTCTCTTACGGCTTTCTTCAGTTCTCAGGTCTTGAATACCGACACGTCATGGGGCGAAAAGAACCCTTTGTTTGAGGTAAAACCAAACGTTCAAATCAAACAATTGAAATACACCTTGTATAAACAATTTCCGGAAGACAAAAAGGGCGTGCGTTCACGAGAATCACGTCCAAACACCACGTGACGAATTTTTAGCGGATTGTGTGCATGTCACGGTGACCAATTTTTTTTACCCTTTCAATCAACCTCTGGGAGTGACTGGGTTGTAATTTTTCTTTACTGCATCACCCTAAATCGAATGCAAAGGATGATCAGAATTACTGATAGAAATGATCATCAATTTTAGAATCTCCTGATCGTTAAAACATTGCTCCTTGAAATTAGAGAGACCTGTGTTGAGAACATGGAAAGTAACATGAGGGTGTAATGAGCTAAGACATAAAATTAAATGTTTGGGCCTGAAAAACCTCTTAAAAGCTAGAAACCAGAGCAAACGCCTTTTTCGTTTTTCGATTTCTATTCCAGACGCCACTTGTCGGTAACAATATGCTCTCAGGTACGTCTGTTCTCGAAAGTCAATTTAAAAGTTGGTTACATTCCTCCAGAAAATTTAAAATTTCCGCTGAGTCGAAACATCTTATCTCAAAAATATATACTATATTTTTCTCACCGCCGGAAAAGGGTCTTAAATGGGACGTGGTGCAATTAGTTTCCAAGAAGTCCGCGCAACCGGCTGATTCTTGTCAAAGCCGCCCTCGAGCCAAAGATCAAGTTGGATCTGTGTTCCACACTATTTCTAGAATACCGTAACATGCCGAAAAAAGACTTGCCAGAGAGAACAAACAGCGTTAGGGTCCATAGCACGGTCACCCCACGTGGCACCATCCCACGCGCACGAAAGGTAGTTTTGTTGGCCCAACCCGTTCAACAGACTAACTCTGTAACTGGTAGACGACCGTGTACGTGTACTCACTTTTTCATTTTAGCTAGATTACGAATATAGTCCCTCCTTTTGGGTGAAATCCGTCGGGCAAGTATAAAAATCAGAGAAAAAAAAACCGGTTATGTTAACGCGCTGCGCCTCCCTCCCAGAGTTCCGCGCGGCGCGCTAACATCAACTTTTTTCGCTATATTTTTTTCTTTTTTCGTATTATTTATTTGGCTCGTAAAACGAACTTCTTCGAAAGAGAACGAATCCTCGTGTCCTACATTTTAGGTTGAAAAAGGAATCCCAAATCATTTGCAGCTTGTCGTTCATCTTTTCCACCCACGCGCACGTGTTGTAAGTATTTACAGTACTGAGCCGGGAAGGGTGAATGAAACCTTATGTTTACTACACCCACTCAGTATCCGGGTTCGCCTAAAGTCCTGGGATCACCTTGACCGTCACGTAATCTAAACAAGCAGTGTGACATGTGGATTGTTGTGTTGTTTTTTTTCCTTTCTTTGACGAACCTTTATTTTCATGATATAAATAGTGCTACACCTGCTCAATATTTGGGGTTTTTAACGTAAATAATCTGTGAATATGTTTAAGAGGAAAAAACACGTCACGTTAACACCTGTTCTGTATCATTTTTTTTCCCATCTCAGTTCCGCTTAAATTGGTAATCAGATCATTAAGAAACCCGAGAAGGCATTCTTTTTTGTACGTTGCAATTTTCGCTTGTAAACTAAGCCTACAAAGTCCAATGGAGGTTTGATGTATCAAATCAAAGGTCACTAAGATATAGAGAATCAAAGTCCGTTAGTACACGAGCGATGTTGCCAATGTTTTTGAGACGGCGTAAACGAGATTAAATTCCTTTTGGTTCACGGAATAATTGCCGAAACGCCTCACATGTCTGCAACACAGGAATGGGTATTTGCTCGAGATCAGTATTCGGAGCAGAAAAGTGTTAAGAAATTCCAGAATGAAACCAATTCCGGGTAGTGTACCGTACTGAGAATACTCGCGAATTTGCGCGAGTCACTCGCACGAAAGCGAGACTTGCGCGCGCATAATGTTCTAATCTCTGTTGCGCCCATCACCGAAAAAATCTGGGACACGCGTATGACTGTCTTAGTTATACAAGGTCATACAAGGACACCTCATTTATAAGCTTTATCACTTACGCACAAAGAATGTGTTGCAAACACTGGAGCAGGCCCCTAAACCATTTGCACCCCATAACATTGATGTGCATATTAACCATACTGTCCTCTGTAGAAACATTTCCGATGCTAAAATTGGAGAACATAACTTCTTGCGTTCGCAGTTCACCCAGCCATAATGTTTGATTCACAGTTCATACTTTGTTGGGTGAAATCACATGCCTGTCACACTTTGAGGGTTTGTTTTCCCATCCCACACCCAAACTCTGTGAACAAAACTTTAAAAACAATGTTGTCGTATAAAAGTTAATCCCTTTATTTACAATTTGCCATAAAACTCTCTATTTTACATTATTACCAATATGGTGTAGTCAAACATCTACTATTTACAAAACCCAGAACTTGATACTGGTCTTTTTATATCTTTTTTCTGTTTTTGGATTTTTGTTTCATTTTATGAATTTTTGGGTAAAAGTAACAGAGAAATATGCGAATGAAGAAGAGTTTAAGCTTCAGTGCTTGTAAATTGCTAAACTTGGAACAATCCCAGTATGCACACACAAGTCTAAGCTTATGAAATTACAAGAAACATAGAAAAAACAAGTATGAACAAGCAAAGAGAGTTTGCGATTTATAGCACACAAGGTCCTGGTGTTTCAAGACTTGGGTCCACTGCATACATCTGTGTCCAAGAACATCTGCGAGGAAGCACCCCAGACATATAAGGGTAGTCTGAGCCTTCGAGAAGCACTCGTAATCTCATAGCAACTTTGCGGCTGTGTACAGAGCCTCCGAGAAGGACACATTGTACTCCATAGGGTCTCCATGTGAAATTATTCCCTGTAAACCGATGTTTGACTGTTGCAAGTGAAGACGGAATCTGAAAACCAGGTCTGTCTGTAACCAGAAGAAAGGCATCTGCCTCAGCAACTTTCCTTTCTAACACTTTCAACGGCTCTTCATAAGTTTGGCACAGACAAGCTTGAGTGTCTTCATATATCAACAAAGGCACACTGACATTTGCACATTCTACAAGGAAAATATCAAAAGAATCTAGATGAGAAAACACATCAGAATTTTAAGGATGATATCGAGGGCCTTTTGGGAAACCAAAAGTGCTTAGTATTGCTACCGGAAGCAACAAAATACTCAGTGATTTTACTGCGAATAAAATTTACATAAACTTCCAGTGATCATAAATACGTGGCAAAAGAAAACACAAACATTGACCCTGTTCTGGTGTATCAATCATAATACAACAAAAGAGAAGAAATCCAAATGTATGAACAAGGCTTCCGTGATGAAGTAAATCGCAACATTTCAAATCACACTTGCACACTTCAACGATTTTGCAATATCAATTTTATTTTGACAGTTATCGAACCTAACAGACGAGAAATGTCACCAATTTCACAGATGTCGGAACAAGCAACCTACAACATCCGTTTCAGGTTTAGCAACAATTTACCAAATCGGAAGGGCTTAGAACCGCCCTCGAAAGGGTTCCGTAAAAAAACACAAGCCTAGACAGAAACAAACTTTCCTTCCTTTAGAACTGATGGCCAAAATGGTCACGTTTCTTTTAAAACTTGCATGTTTTTATTAAAAGCCTCCGAGGCAGAACGAGTTGAAATGTTATTTTTGGACATTACGAGGAATTTAAAGTGGAAATTTCGCAATTTCTAAGGCTTCATTTAATTTTGCCTCACCTACACACATTTTATCAAGACTTTATCAGGTTCTAATATTATGGATTCTATATATATGCAAACCATATTTCGATTACCATAAATTCTGTTTACCATCCGAGTTTGGATGTAAGCCAGCTTTCAACAAACATACTTAGAAGGGATTTTTCCCTTCCAAAGTGAAAGAAGCGCGGTGAAAAAAGAAAATCAAACTTGGAATCGCAAACATTTCTACTCACCAAATAGCGTAATTTGATGTCCTTCGTTGCAAAGCTGTTTGAGCATGTACTGCGCTTGGCTGAGGCCGTGATTGCTTGACATAAAATCCGCGAACAGTACAATTTTCATACTGTTCGGAGCTTTGGTACTCTGTAAATCCCAAACCTAAAACAGAGACGAAAACTTGATGAGGGAAATGGCTCAAAATCCAAAGATACACTCATAATAAACACTGCGCATTACATAAATTGAAATATTACATCAGAAAAATTTGATCAATCACGAGTTTAGAACGTGCAGAATGTGATTTCTCAGCTGCCAAGGACAGAATTGACCGCGTTTGAGAAGGGAGCTGAAGCAAACGAACAAGCAAAACGAATTTTTCTCATCCTATTTTCAATCTCACTTTGCTTGCGACTTTTGCTTTCATAACACCTCGCTAAAAAGTGTTAATAATTTAGTATTTTTCCGAATTTCGGTCACGTCCGCAGGTCTATAAAAAGTTTCCTTGCCTGGAATAGAAAGAGAGATCTTTTGACGTAGCGCAGGGAAATTATCCGACTGCGATCTCAACTCAAAAGTGGCTCCCTAGGATCTCTAAAGCAGTCGTAGATGAACGTTCAGATGGATGTAATCATTTACAGCGATACTTATAGACTTCCGCGCGACAACAAACTGCTTCGCGAACGTCTGCAACAGATTGAAGCGAAATGACCGCGCGCGCGAGACCACATTCGATTCCATGCAATTGAAAACCACTTTCATTTCGGGAACGAGATCTCGGTCATGCAGATCTCAGCGGGTAAACGAAGTGGCTCAATCGACAGATATGTCCATCATCTGATGAAACACGGCTGGCCTATGGCCAATTCTGCAAGATCCCAGAAAAACCCGTGCTGAAGATCACAAACCGAATATTTAGTCACGTATTCCCGTTCGATTGCTCAACTCTGACAAGGAAATTAAATTTTGAAGCGATGTAACACTTTCACAAAAAAAGAAAAAAAAATTGCAAACGCAAACACTTTCGATTGCTTTAACTCAGCAGTTTCTAAACGAGAATGGCGAATTTTGAAATTGCTTCTTTAATTGTCGAGCAATCGGGCTTCTTCTCAAAGTTAAGAGAATTTGATTCAAATATCCTACAAGTTCTGCATTGCCTTCGAAGGCGATCGCCTTGTTGCCGATTAAACCGGTTCTTAAATACTGCACAACAGCGAAGAACAGCAACTGACATTTCAAATACGTGCTTAATAGATCCCTTCGCTAGAAAACAAAATTCGGACGAAGAGCCCAGATCTTAGAAGTGAAATTAACTTCGACCTCGATTACTTACCAAGCTAGAGCTGGGGGCTTTTGAGTTTCCTTTGCACATCTTGGTCAAAATCCGCTTTTCCCAATTCAATCTCTCAATACAAAAGAACTCTTCGCACCGTGCGACTAGAAAGCACAGACAACGGACGTCCGTGAAAGATTTATACCTTTTGACAAGCTCTATGACGTCACAAGATCATCATGCAAATTCACACCAAGCACGTTCTTAATTTTAAATCTCGCCCTCTGATTGGCTTCCAGAACAATTGATGATTCACAGTATTGACATAAGAGCTCAAAACCCAGATGACGGCAAGAATAGCCATAGCCAAGTTTCTAATCTCTACAATCACCCCAGAAGAATTCATGACAATTGTAGCAAAGAACTAACTTTAAACCCGGCGCTTTGTTACTCTGCAAGTTTTGAACAAAAGACTTGTGCTGTTTTGGAACAACAACACATACACACTGAGAAACGTAATTAAATGTTTGCCATTACATCTGATAGGTTGAATCTAACACAAAGCTGAGTAGTCTATCAAAAAGATTAATTTTCATGATTAAAAACCTTTTAGAAGTATTTCGGTTGAAAAGAAAATTCAAGTTACAAACAAGAGAGAAGGAAAAATAATCGTGACTTCTAAAAGATCCTTTCGTGTCAATGATATTTCCTTACAGCGATTTCTGTCTGCGATACATGAAACAAGTTTTTATTTACATGCAGGGAGTCATGTGCAAACGGATTTTAAACAAACTACGTGCCAGCTTTTGATCGCGAACGTGACACCTCGTTCGGTGACTTATTCATTGTTGACTCTGCCGGATCAAAAGTCACCCTTGTTTTCATTTCCTTCACGCTTGCAACATCTCCGAGCAAAGCGCGTGATTTTAAACTTTCGAAGACTTAATCGCCTGAGGTTTGGTCGCTCTTGCTGAATTCATCGAAGACTTGATCGGAACCAAATATGTAAACCAGTCGACCGATATCGCACTTGACAAACCTACCTTGTTTTTTCCTGTGATATTGCCTTTAACAAGTTTTCTACCTGCCCCTAAGTTTTTCATGGCTGCTCTAATTCGGTTTTAAACGCATTCTCTGCTAAAAATTTGAGAAAATCGAACTAAGCCAACTATAGTAGAAGTCAAAACAGATTGAATTTTCCCAAACAATCTTGGAGCCCTACCACCGAAGGCATTAAAATTAGCTGTGCGCCGTTGTTGCGGCAGGATGTCAGGTTCACCAGTCATTGAATTAACTTTTCTCTCGCCTCTTAGATTCAAGGACTGCTTTGTGAACATGCTTTGTTCCACCGTCATAAATTGAACTCATAAACAAAAGAGATTTCAAATCTGGCATGCTGCCCTCTATTTTGCTTTGGGGTTATCAATAAACTTCTGTTCGATCATGTGAGCTACGCTCTGACACACCCCCTAAAACACCCATAGGAGGCTTCTAGAGACAACAACAGATTGTTTCCTGTCCAAAGTCTGCTGTTTGATTGTTTTGAAGTAGTTTTTTTCATTCCTTTTTCGGCAAAGACACTAAAGCGATCTTGAATTTTAATGAAGGCAAGTTCGGGCGAAGTCAGTAACTCCACAAAGACCAATACAAGGCGACCCAATACATTACAGTTGTAATTTACGTTCTTCAGCTTTCCTTTCTTCTACTCTCGGTTGTTTTTGCGATGATTTAGTGCTCAATGAAGACTAATTTGAATTAGTGCAGAGCTCCTTTCATTAGGTAAGATTTTAAACATAATGAGTGAGATTTAATTCTTTTGTTTTCTTCGAAACCTCTTCAAGACAAAAGATCAGTTACAGGAAAACTATAAGATGCGCGATTTTATTTTAGAAACATTTCTAATTTCTTAAAATACCACAGTCTACCTTGACGAGGTAATTTCGCTTTCGAAACTAAACTCCAACCGCAGGCAATGGGGCGAAGAAAGGGGTTTTTCCCTTTCACGGTTGACGGTTAACGGATTCATACTCTAAATTAAGAGCACCGGCTTTGTCTTGGCGAACGACTAAAAATGTCGTTTTGCTTTAGGAGCAAGTTCTCGACATATTTAATTTTCGCTTTCCCGGAAAAAGAGTTTGGTTGATTTTTTTGCGTTGCTTTAAGAATTAATGTAACTCTTGACAGGGCGAGTCAGTTGTTATAGTCGGTTGTTATTGCCATAAATCGTTTTTGTTCGTATTTTAATGGAGTATGTTAAGCCGACTTATTTCCCAACGAAAATCTTAAAGACATAAGTAATCTCTGCTTATCACTTTTGACCCGAAACAAAAAACTTAAGATCACCAGCTTTAAATATGTAAAGCTGAAGTTTTACACCTAAGTTAGGAATCTAAAATTTACCCTTGAGTTCAAAATTTTAGGAAGGGAGAAAGAGGGCCAATTCTCAACTATCACCAAAACCCGGAAAGGAGCGGGCTATTTGTGTTACTGAAGAACAAACCTTCAAGCTGTGCACAGGTGCTTAACTGAACAAATTAAAGCTGACATATTTGTCAGCTGGTGCAACTTTCTGGGCCCGTAAATTCAAAACAACATGAAATATTTTGCTATAAATTCATAGGCCATCCGACGTACAAAATATACCACTTGCTGATGTTTTTCATGTCCTTCCATCTCGAATATACCATTGAACGAAAACAAACTCTAATGTTTATCAGTTAGATACAGGCACGAAATAAAAAATAAAGTTTGTTGAAAGGAATGAATTTGAAGATATTTAAGCGCTCCGGTCTCTCAAAACACAAAATATTATTTTAGCTTTTGTTATCAAAATTAAAAGAGATATTAATGTAATTTATTTCTATCAAGGCAAAACAAAAATTGGCAAAATAACCGGACACGAAATGGAAAAAGTTCGTCAGTTTAAGAGAATTCGGTTTTATTGTTTAGTGCTGCTCTCTTCAACTACAAACCATTTTGTGACTGTTTCTTTTTTTTTTAATAGAGACTCAAAAAAATTTTTTAAAGTTAAAAAAATAATAATCATCTAAATTAGGGAACACACCAGCGTCAGCTGGCGAGAAAACTTGCAAGTGAATTGCAAAATATCTTGAAGTAGCTCCTTTTCTAAATCTTCTCAGTAAGGGTTTTAATATCTTTGTCATTAAAATGAAAAATTATTTTCTTCAATCTCAGAGGATGGTCTTTTTGGGCCAGAATGGCGTCCAGGAGAGAAATTTGACCTTGAAAATCAGCACGAGCCTTGGACTAGACATGCTTATACGAAAGCGAAGACATTTTGCAGCGGCGTTGAGCCAAAGTTAATCCGTGACTCAAGTCCAGTCAAAAGGGCTTGTATTGCGAAGTGCTGCAACGTGAAACTTTGGAAATCTGCCAAGTCATGCGAAGAAAATCATCTTGGCTTCGTTTTTTGGAAACCAAAAAGTTTCTGAATCGGCGATGATCCACTTCGAAAATTAAACTGGTATAATACGCGATTTTGGCAAACAGATATCTGTCATTTGAAAAAGCTAAGCTCTAATCGGCATGGAACCCAACAAAAGCTTTTTAATTCTTAAGTCATTAAGTCAAGTCTACATTTTTTCTTTTTCGTGAAAAGAAACACGCCAAAATTTAAAATCAAAGATCAAAAACTTACCGCGAATTGTCAGGTTCAAATCTAATTTTCCTGCTGCTTTCAGGCTCGGCATTTATTTCATTTCATCTAATTTTTCTCAAATATTGAAAGCATTTTCACGTGTTGATTTGTTTTTCGTGCCTATAAACACAATACTCTCAGTAGGGTACTCCTTGTCGTCACGTTAGTAACCATTTTTTCTTTAATTCTTTTATTCGCTTTTCACTGAATAAAAGGAGAAGCACGACGAAATAAAAATAATAATAATAAAAGATTCTCAAATGATACTTTTCATAAGTACATGAACCGGTACTTTGATCTCCAGATCAACGATATTCAAATTGTTGTGAAGAACGTGCGCGTTTCAAGGCCAAAAAGATATTAACATTGATTTGTGCTCTCAGCAAGTGTTCTGACGTCAAATTGAACAATGAGCATGCACGGTGATATTTCTCAATCCGAGAAGGTGAACAATGAAAGACCTCATAAATACCACTGGTGATGATCAACTAATTTTGTGTAAAACATGTTTTAAAAAGGTAATAAACCCAAAGTTTATTACCATCTGCCCCAAGAACTTGGAATGGACTGGCAAGATCTCGTTGACAAGACAATCGAATTCGTTCATGCACTTCTTGAGAACTTTGAAACAGCTAAGAAGGTCCTCAGGGACAGCACCTGCGTGGTCGTTGTCGTTGTACTTGCGTAGTGCTTGCGTGCAAACGGAATCTATCCGTGCTAAAGTATTTGTGTAGCTACCTCCCCTATGCAAATTAGTTGTAACTCTTGAACTCGCATTTGTTAATTTTATTTTCATTTGTACCCTTGATAATGGCGTCATGAAGTCGCCGAAACGTCGGGATATTATATCGTTCGTTTTACCTGTCTATATATTATTAATATTATTATTATTATTATTATTATTATTATTATTATTATTAAAGTTATCAGTATTTTTCGTGAATAAATTGGAGGTGGCTTCGCAAATATTTCTTATCACCCAAGCTGTAGTTTGAGGCTTACGTCAGGTGTGTTAAATATAAAGATGATTAATAACGATCATAATAATAGTAATAATAATGATAATGATAATATAATACTAATAATAATAATAATAATAATAATAATAATAATAGTAATGATAACCAGTATAGGAAATAGCACATCCATGAAGGGAAATTGACGATCTTTCAAAAAATCACGGGTGACCAGAAGTCCCAAGTCTAGGCTAAAGTTTGAAATATTTTTTTTTATCGACAGATTCTCAACAAAGTCAGTCATTTTATACGCTACATTTGGACTGGAAATCGTGGCCGATAAAATCACGTCATAAGCATGACCGTAACTCTGTCACAGTAGAGTTCAATCGGGTTGCTCATATATATCAAGACACCTTCACGAGTACTTATCAATTTTTTTTTTTATCTATTTTTATGGTATTGAAAAGAATCTTGAGTGGCATCGGTCTCTAATTGCCTCGAAAACCTGGTCGTATCGTAATTTAAATTCATGATTTCTGCAGCAAAACAAAAGAAGTCGTGTGATTTACAAACTTTTGGACGGTACTCTCCCAAAATCTCAAGTGGGTTAGCACGCTGGTAAACCGAGACAAATTTCGCTCTGTTGCTTTCATTGAATAAACTTCAATAAAGAATGGGTCCAATAAACAATGGGTTTTAACCAAACAAAGTCGCTCGTAGTATCTTCGTTATTTTATAATATTCTATAATTGGGCTCTAAGGGTCAGTTTGACCCATTACCATTTTGCATGGAAGAAAAGTCGGAGATAGATTATTTAAGTGGAAGCTCTCTCTCCGACTTACAGAGTTACATCTTAAATTTACTTTTTATCAACAATATTTAATACTGTTCTAGAGGTGCATTATCAAGATGACGTAAATCAAAATATATATTGCAAGCAAACACATTTTTCATTTCTATTGATCAATGACTCCGTACCTTAAGCGCACGACTTTGCTTGATGTGCCTCGAAATCACGGCGCTACGCGCTAAAAGATTAATAGACCCTGTCAAAAGCAGCGATGACAGCTGTGTGACTACATCTTCGTTTCCGGAATTACGTTTAGTGGACTGAAGGGATGAGGTTATTGAAAAGATTAAATGTCAGGACAGATCATGTTAGAAGCTTAGCAGTGTGTTTTAGGACAAACTGCTACTCATAGCATGAAAAAGAGGAAAATGATTAAAAAAAAAACCAACAATGAAACAAATTCAAGCAAAAGTGATTTACTCGTCATCAATGTTTAAGCCGTAAATCACCTGCGAAGTGATCAACTTGCGACTTCTCCTTGTAATATGCATATATTATCCATACTCAAATTTATCAGGTACGTGTTTAAGCTGTTATCTTGATCTAACACTAAATTCTTATTACCTATTTACAAGGAAATGTGAAGCAGCGAGAGGGGAGAATTAATGATCAGATCTCGGGAGTTAAAGGGTTCACCGATAACAGTAAAAATCAGCAAAAAATTCTATGAAAAGATAAAACGAGAAAAAATAATTTACAGCGCCATGAATATCAAAGCTGTGAAATATGTGTTACATTTTATCGTGGACGCAAGATAGCAGATAAGCTCGAGGTTGAAAATGACTTCTGCAAATTTCGTTGCAGACGTTTATCTTAAAAGCATTGCGGCCACATGGCATCATGAAAATATTTGAGAGAGAAGATAGACTTTTATTCGGGAAACTGAGCTACATTTATCGAAAATGTTGATTACGGATAAATATGGAAATAGAACAATAGACCAGTGTACGTGATCCTGTCCAAGTACAACCGCTTTTGACAATAGCTCAGTTGAAGCCGAGCTGAATGAGTTATGACATATAACAACGAGAAGTTTTAACTGAGATCATTTTCTAAACTTCTTTCTTTTCTTTTTTTTTTACGATATTATGGGCTCACATCCGATAGATATTTACCCTGCAAGCAGGAATATAGGATTGTTTGATTTGTTTGGGATTTGGAACGAGATGGAGGCATGACAATGCAAAGCAAAAATTAAAAAAATATTTTTTTCGAATAACGAAAATTTATTCTTGAACTCGTCACAGATAAGCCAAAAAGCCTTACGGAGAAATTTCATAAAGGACATGTTTACAGAAAAAAAATTATAAACTTACAGTATTTTTGAATGCAGGAGCTCTGTTCATCCTCGCCAGTTGAGTGCATATGACACTTTGCTCAAACACCAAAGATGAAATTTCGTATCATGACTGGTGTTCACGTCTTTGATACCACGTGACATTAATAGCATTGAGGTTCTGCACGAAAGACTAATTGTTCGTCAATGGACTTCGTCCTTCAAGTTATGACATTTGGTAATGCTTTTCTTATATTCCTATGTGCTGAGGCTGACAAAGACAAACTGACTAACCGTATATCTGTTCTATACAGTTTTTTTTCTGGAAAACTTGCGAAAAACATTATGTGAGTCTTCGTGATACTGACGTCAATGGTAACAATAACATCGGCATCTGCAAGTCAAAACATTTCCACAATAATTCCGATCCCTCCAGATGCTCGATTTGGATTCTAATAACAAACTTAAAACTATGATTGCGCCAAAGGCAAGTGAGGAACATGCAGATTTCATTCGAATTTGAGCCGTTTCTGTAACAAAGTTCTAGTCTTTGCATTTCATTTAAATACAAGATATATATACATATATATATATATACCTGCAGGCAGTACCGTTTCGGCCTTCTGGGCCTCATCAGTGCAGTGCTAATGCTATATATATATTTTTATGTAATTCTAGCATCTTTTGAAGGATTAGGAGAAACGTATGAGAAAATCAGAGGGAAATTCTTCCCGTAAGAGTTTGCAGTAAACGTACTCTCTCGAAATAATTCCGTTTTGAAATGATGGCCACGTTTGGTCCAGGACAATGCGACGAAGCGAAAGAGAATAATTCCAAAATTGTTTCATACGATCACCTGCCCTTTTGACACCGCTATCGGGTGTCAAAGCTAGATCTATGACCATTATGCACGTACGCAGGCTGTGTTCCACCGCAATCTGACTCTTAATAATCATTGCTCAAAAATATCTCAAAAATATTTTAACATAAGCATCATGTTACACTTCGGTTGAAATTATGTTCCTTGACAATTTGTTTCAGGGCTTGAACCGGATCAAAAAAAAAAGAAAAAAGAAAAAGAAATTGAAAACACTATCTTTACTTCAATGACACCAAATCGTTTTGTTATTGTCTTGGAGAATTTTGTCACAGCCAATCAGGGACGGCCCAGTGAAACGAAATGGAACATTCTGCACGTGCGCTTTCCTAGTTCCTGCAGCCAATCCCATGAAACTCCGAAATGATCGTATTCAGGCAAACAATGGCTTTCTCCAACTAGTTTTCCACAATTATAATGAATTTCTATACCTAACGCTGTTTTTTTTCTGAGATTTTTTAGTTCCATTTCTATTACAGTAAAGTTCGGATTTAACGCGCGCTGTCATTGGTTGAAAAGGTGCGCTCTATTAGAGAATAGAGCATGGAGCAGAGCTAACGCTGGCACGTAATCTGCCAATTTGTACGTTGTCTAGCTTTTTTTCGTTAATTGAAAATGAAATTTCGGAATAAGGGGGTAGGCAAGTTGCAACAGAAGAATCAAACAAAGGTTTGTAAACATGCCAAGCGCCTCAATTTGCACTCGATTAAATCTCGTGTTTCTCCCACACTTCTTTCGTGTTCTAGCAGCTTCCTGCGTGCTTTAGAACAGAATAGACGACAGTCAAGGCTTCTCTATTTACTTAATACAGCATGGGTGCCATGACAAGACTGAAAACTCTGAGCCGTTCGATATTATTATGCCCTCACGTCTCACAACACGGCCTTAGAATACATGCAATTCTTTATTTGCATATTGGATGTCTGTTCGTTTACCGACTTACGACTGAGAACAAACAGAATGAAAGAACTCACATTGACACAGTTTTCAAGGCTTTAAAAACATCTCGGACTCCCCGTGACCAATCATTTTGCTAACTTACTGCTTTACACCCTAACATCAGTATGCATTCGCCGGGTCACACGCTTCTTTACACTAGGGTGTCGACGAGGATAATTGGTTTACCAATCGTGAGCTTCTTTGGTTGGTAATCGTTTCCCTTATTCTCCTGACCGTAATGTGTGATTCTGAGGTGACATTGTAAGGAGAAATTAGGTGCTAGTCACTCGCAGGCCAAAGTGACGAAGAAGGAGGAAAACGAAAGGTTGTCAAGGCAACGCAACATAACCAGAAACGCTCATTTTTATTATTGCCGAGCAAGGTCAAGTTTGTTATTTGTTAAACTAAAGCTAAATATATATTTTTAAGATTTTTTTTTGTTAACTGAAAGGTCCGTCTGTTGTCGCCTTTCCACAATTCTGAGTTTTACATGGTCTAGCAAAATTTCGTAATGCTTAGTTCGATCCATCAACTCCCGGAAGTGTATTTAGCAAGTAACTTCTTTCAGTATCAACGCATTATTCAACTAAAACCAATGAAAATATACGGACTTATCAGCAATGAGATATCATCTCTAATATCAGGATACCACATCCCGGATGACCACACTCCCATTTCAAAACTCACTTGAACATAACTTTTGTTAAGCAACACGACATCAAGCGGACGACGCAACATCACGTCTGTTAGTAACGAATTCATTTCCCCCAATCTGATTTTTTTCCATTCATCTACTGTAAAGCTACCAGATATGTATTCAAAATTCCCAGAAGAATTCAGTCAAAACGGTTTAAAAATTCGTCATTGAAAGTAGTTAATTCTTCTGTTCTCTGGTTATAACAATTAAATCGTGATTTATTGGATGGAACCCAGTCTCTTAGCCGCCTTGTGTGTCGCGCAGGACCTGGTGATTCAATCCTTTGATTGCATTGATAGTACAGTATTTCTCTGAAGATCACATTTGTGAACGTAGCTGGAGATGTCATACTGGGACTTGTAACAGCATTTTCATTTCTTCCAGGACGCTGGATACAAGAGACGAGTCAGTGCTTTTACCATCAACAGACACGGAGTGATCCTGTGAAAAAACAAAACCATCTTGATCAGCAAATAATTTCTCGCTACGCTCACTTAACCTTTTACGTCCTAACATCAGTAAACAAATTCTCCATACTGTTCTCTGTACAAGGTAATAACAGGGAGAATTCGTTAAACAATCAAGAGTTTCAGTCTTAAGTTGGTGATCATTTCCTTTATTCTCCTGACCTTAATGTGTGATTCAGGTGTGATATTGTAAGGAGAAATTAGATGCTGGTCACTCTAAGATCCAAGGGGCCAAAAATTTAGGACTACGAGTATTTTTTTTCTCCGTGCTTAACTGCAAGAGATGCTTGTAGTTTGCTTGTACCCAGGCCCTCATAATAAACGCTTTGGCGCGAGCGTTTCCTCGCTTGTGGGAAACTGTGAGGCCCTAGGCAACGCGAGCCCGCATGAGGTCTGCCATGGGTCTAGCGCCAGACCCCCCCCCCCCGACTCATCTCAAATCCTCACGCAGGGGGAGAAATGCGCGTCCCCAGCGATAATATTAATGAAGGCTTGCTGTTCTCCAGGTTCCCCTAGCTGTTCCCTGTCGATGCCGGTTTAGCAAAGTTGAGGTTAAGTCGGCACAAGAGACTGACTCGCATAGCTACTGGAACCTGTCCCAGTTACTACGGCTCAGACATACGATCGTGATACAAAATATAACAAGCACTAACTGGTAACTGCTTCACAAGCGCACACAAATGGTGTCCTTGAATTGAACAGGCGTACAAAGACGCGCTATTATCGACTTGTTCCACAACTGAAACACGAGAAGACAAAACAATTTCAATTAGTAATGAAAAGTTCAAGTGTGTACGAGCAGGCTGGTTAAGGAATTATTTACAGGACCAAGCCAAGTGTCATTCGCTGAAGCACGTGATCGTCACAAATGTCTCTCTCCAAATGAATGAATGAAAGTAGAAAGGAAATAAAGATACATAATTCAGGCCTAAATTTTTGGGAGAATTTTACCATTCTCCTCTTCGGAAATGCATAATGTGAAGCTTAATTAAACTACAACAAAGTACGATGGATTCGCAAACTAAGTCACGCGGGTGGCCGCTCAGGAGATCGAGTGCTTACAGAGATTGCATGGGAGTTTTAAAACAGGATCTGTTCGAAAGTGTTTTGTAGGAGAGCTTTGATGGCATAATTCAAGCATGTTTTTTTGCTACATGCACGGCTGTTGTACGCGAGCTTTGACGGCATAATTCAAGCATGTTTTTCGCTACATGCACGGCTGGACTGTTCGTGAGTGTTTTGTACGAGAGCTTTGACGGCATAATTCAAGCATGTTTTTCGCTACATGCGCGGCTGGGCTTAACTGCAGAATACCAAGGCTGATAGGAATCCACCAAAGAAATAGCGTCATTCGCTAAGAAAACTGCGACTTGTTTTTCAAAGCGTTTTCAGTGTAGATTTATTTTTAAATTTAGCTCATGCATTCCAGTATAACCACAGATCAAGAAACAATACTGCGCTGTAACTAAATATTTGTGTTCAAGATTGTTGAACCGAAGCCAGTATACTAAGTGTCTGTACCGACAAAACAACACCATTGCTGGCAGTTCTCCATTCTATTTCAAGAAACACTTGAAGATGTTTCCACCTCGCAGGTTGCGCAAAGCAGATATAACAAATCTCTTTAAAGTATTTTGACAGACTTGGAACTTACATCTGTGTACAACCCTTCCAACCCATGGCAATAAACAAAAAATAACATTTGTTCAAAATAGTTTGAGGCGGTTCAAATAAAGAAAACAAAGGGCTTAATCAGCTCGACTTGCGATTGTTTTCAAATACTTGCAGACTCGAGAAGTTTCCGCAGAAATTATGAAGAGAAAAACATGGCCAAAGTATCTCAGAAAATCACGAACGTGCCCACTTCAAATTCTGGATGTTATTGATATTAATTTGAACTCAGTTTTAGAAAAAGAGGGCATCTTAAATAAAATATTCGATAACGATTTTAGTAAACGTTTCAAAGAGATCACGTCTTAAAGGTTACAGGTTACTTGTACATCAGAAGGACCCTTTGGGAAAAAATCTATCCTGCAATATTGTATTTTCCTCCGCTAAGTTTGGCTCAAAGGAAACAATCACTGTAGGTTTTGTTTTTATGTAGTAAAAACAACAACACTGACAATTCTTTTAGCAGTAAGGAGCTTCACAATCTAGGGAGACTCAGACAGTATTACAACAAGAAATAAGATCTTTATGGTATATAATCACTTAGACAGGATGTCTCGTTGAAAAACAATAAAAATGACGTTTAGAAGTACTCGACAGCACTGTGGAAAACACTTGAGATTCTTTTACCTGCCTCAAAGCATAGGCAAGCAATTTGCGACAACGTCTCACCAGCCACTGCATTTAGTTGCAATTTGAGTCAAGCAGTGCAATACTTGTCTGAGGGAAAAATACACGAAAGTTGGCAGAGCTCCACATTAGGGAAGTGTGTCTTTGCGTGATCCACGGGACACGTGCAGCATGCGTGCTGCGCTCGCGCAGGGGTCACGCGTGTGAAGCAAATTATGCGTGAGGCGAAAGAAAAGGAAGTGTTACCTGCAAAATGTAACAGAACGCAAATCTTGGTTACGACTGAGCTGAACACTGTTGTCTCTGGTGTGGTAACCTACAAAAAAATACGTTTGATATAGTTATCAGTGATAAATTCCACCATCTTTATACCCTCTAATTCTCAACTTTATCTTCGCAAATCTTCCAGAGCCAGAAGGGACTAGGAAAATTGGCGAAATATGGCAAACTGCCTATTCAATCATGGTCAGACGAAAATAACCAAAGGGAAATTACATCCATCGGCAACTCAACTCAAAATGAATGACTCGTTAAACGAAAGGGTTTGAGGTTGAGAATAAATCACCCCTTCAAAACCCCATTCATTCCTGTGTGTGACCAATAATACCTTACAATATCGGTACATTTTCAAGCAGACAGGTCATTGGAAGAAAGAAAAATATCATTACCCGGGTGAAGAACGATTTAAAACAACTTCTAAAACATACAAGAAAAAAAAAAGGAATGGCAAACAGTATGGAGAATATGTTCTGGCAGCAAGAGTTAACTCGAACCACTTGAAGATTCATGATGAGTTACCTTAGATTGAATACATCCTTGAAAAACGAACTTCGTAAATCGGATACCTTGTTATTTATTAAAGCCGCAAACAAACCAACTTTTCTGTTTTTCCCGATAAAAATCAAATCAACAAGAGATTACAAGTCTGCTACATGAGCCAATACGGTTTGCGGAAATGTTCATCCCTTTAAATCGCGAAAAACCGCAACAACTTCACGGGGTCAGGGTATCTGTCTCGGCGCGGAAAACAAAGAAAGGAAGGCAACAGTGCAGAGGGACAAGATGGTAGACGATACACACACACACACACACACACACACACACACACAAAAAACTGCTTCGCCCCCTGTTCAGTTTGCACTGAGCGAATTCGCCCCCTACTATCAACAGATGTTAACTGACGTCAACATAAAAAAAAATTCACTTCAAACGATTTCGTAGCACGAACATAAAGCTCAGAAAACGATAAGCTTACTAAGGTTATAGGCTTCATCTAAATGTTTTGTCGCCACAAAGTTTTTCATTAGCGTTGTTTTAACTTATTCGCAGATAGCAATGGAAATGTGTTAAAGTAGTGTCATTTCTTGAGCGATCTTAAATTGCTAATCGCGCTTTTAAATCTCCTTCAAAACTTTCGGCCAGTTACGCCAACGCTGGGTGATCCAAACAGAAGGAAAATTGAAAACGTTGTAAAATCGCTACGAAAACCACAAAGGGCGAATATTTCAAAATCAAAATGTTGACCCAAAACAATAACCTCGCGTAGAATGCGACAAGATCTGTCGTACCGGGAGATAGAGAATAAAGAATAAACCTTATTATAATATCTCGTGTCGAGCTTAAGGAGTGGAATGGTTCCAAGTGTTCCACCCTTTCTTGCTTTTTCTAGTATCCAGTCTCCCAGCACTCCCATCTTTTTATGCCCCGTATGGGCAAGGATGGACTTTTACCGCAAAAAGTAAACAAAAAGTAACAAACCTTAACAGAGCCCTTGTGCACAATAGTTCCACTTCCAAGAAGATTGGTAAAATCCGTGCTAAAGACAAACAGAAGAGTTACGTCACAAAGTGATTTCAGAAGAAATATGAGGCTAGCAAAGAAGATTCAATTGATAACAATAAGCGAAACAAACAAACAAACACACAAACAAACAAACAAACAAGCAAATAAAAACAACAAAAACTTCACGCATACCTGGACAACGGCGTAGAAATTAGAAATGACGAGCAAGGTAAAAACAAAGAGAAATCCATCTTTTCACTAGTTGAGCCTTCGTCATCCTACAAAGTAGATGTCAAAGGCGACGGAAAAAATTGAGAAATTAAGATTTGTTCGTAACAAAGATTTCCTCGCTGCCTCGCGCTCGAGACAAGTGGAATAACAGAAAGGCACCCAACCAGACCCCCATATGTCCAGGCATAAGCGAGCATCTTCTCCGAG